ACAGGCGACGCTTGATATGAGTAGCAGAACAAAAAAAAAAGAAAGAACAGAACAGCAGAGGAAGTGGCCAAAAGGAGGGTGGACTTCATTTGAGTTGCGGCACATTTTGAGTAATATTAACAAATTGGTGGAGAAAGGTCACTATGGACTACACTGGTAAAAAAATTTATAAGAAAGGTCAAAATACATGTCTTGAAGAAAGTTTCTTGGAAAGCGAAAATTAGCCTTTTTAATTTAAATTCTTAACTATTCAATGGTAAAAATGATAACTGTTTGATGACTTGTGAATATTAAATTAATACTTTCATTTTCTTTTCTGTGTATGTATATCGATGTATAGCTAGGGCATTTACTGGAGCCCCAACCAACTTAAAGCCTTTCAGCAGCCACAGAGATTCCAAGAACAAGCACAGTTGTCTTCATTATAAACAGATTAATCATCTATAGGATGGAGGGGGGGTTAAACTACTAAGTATATATAGGGAACACCCACTGGGAGAACCCTTTTAGCCAGGAAACGTGAAGTGAGTCACCACCCATCCCCGCCTTTGTCTGGCCATAATGGGCGAGTATCCTTAGTCATCTGCCGACTACCAGAGGATAACCCCCAGAAAACCCCACTTCGATCGCCCAACCCCACTAAATTGCGTCTACTCATTTAGCCATAAAAACAGGATGCTTTGGCCTGAGAAGTAGTTAATGTACTATATACAGCTGCGTTCAAAATAATAGTTAGGTAGGAAAACAGTTTTGGAGCCAGTTCTGAAAAAAAACTTTGTACTATACTTAAACTATTTACAAAAAATGTAAGAAATAACATAAAGTATTAAATATTGTTAAATATTTATAAAACAAATGGTAATTTATTCTTTTTTTAATTTTAAAATAGAGATTTATTGTAATTTAAGTGAACAATTAAATGATTTACTGACCCATACTAAAAAGTAAAGTTTTTCCTAGAAAAACTAACCCAATTTTTATTTAGTGTTCTTCATTGGTAAGCGAATTGGCATATGCTTTTTACTTTTTATTTTTTTTTTGAGCACCTTACGTTGTTCAATTTCTATTATTTTGACCACGCTGTTATGTTTATATGGTAGTTAGAGATAGAGTTCTTGGAAGTATGGAATGGAAAGCCATCTCCTCCCTATTTGTCCACAGAAATTCAATTCAAATTTTATTCAAATGCTCGCTGCTTATTCATTCATCTTTTTATCATCTTCAGCTTTTGGAATTTATTTTATTGAACACATTTTTCCGAGAGCCATTTTCTTCCACCCCCATTGCCCATTTCGAAGCTCCATTTTTTTTTTTAGTTTTTCCTCTGTTTGCCATAATCCGATTGTGCGTTGGGGCAAATTATTGTCGGGGATTTCTCTACATTTCTTTTATATTATTTCTTCTAGAAGAGGACTTACGGCAATGTGTGCGATTTATGTTAAGTGGCACACATTGCACTATTTGTTAGGGGCTCTGCTCGTTTGTGCAGTGAGCAATAAAAATGTCATTCTGCAATAGAATCGAATGGTTTTTCTCTACTTTTTCTCCGCTTTTTGCGACAGCTGCAGGCTTTTTATGTCGACAGGACTTGGCTGGAAATGATTGTGAAAAGGACAAGCAGAAGCGAAAACCATAAATAAAGAAGTGTTTGAAATACAACTTTAAGGCCAAATTATAAGGGAAAATAATATAAAAAGTGACAAATATAATATTATAGATGTTTTTGTGGATGTTTTTATAAATCTATACTTGTTTTTCAAAGATGTTTAGACATTTTCCAATTGCAAAAGGTTTTCCCTGTTATAAATGCAGCTGTGACCTGTCTCTTTTGAAGAGACTTAAGAATGCTATGATTAAGGCAAACAAAAGGGTAATGGAGATAAAGATGACAGCGAGAATAGAGAATATTCGAAGTACTCAATCCTTTCCACATCTCTGCTGGTATTGTTCCTCTATTTCCCACGCCCCATAAATCAAGCGGATCGCAAATCCAATAACGAAAATTGCCAGGATTTGGCTGTCTGGCTGACAGGACTCAGATGGCAATGGATTCCCAAGCAGTTGCGTCTGCGAATCTATAAAACGCATTTAGATAAAGTCAACTTACTGTCTCCTAACCAAATCCGATTTCGATTTGTTCTTTGTTTGTTTTTTGTTTTTTGGGAGGCTAAAAAGTTTAACACGCCTAAATGCTGGCAATTTATTTTACTCTTGTTTAACGAAATCGCCAAAGGAGCAGCCACAGCCGCCAATGCACAAGTTTTTCTGCTCGTCTGAACTTTGCTGTGTGGGCCATTAAATAAGCCATTGCCAATGGGCCCTTGGCCTCGAGTTTTAGTTTTAGCGGTTTCGGCGCAGCCAGATTTTATGGCTCAACTTATCCGAAAGTTTTTCTCTATTCCTTCTGATTTTCCCCTTTTTGATTCGTTTAAGATTTCAGCGTCTTAGCAAGCTGATCTTGAATCTCTTTTTATTCTTAGTTTTTTTGGCCTGGCGGAATTTATTCCATTTTTTGCACTCTTTTTTCTGCATTTTTCCTTGCATTTTTTAGAGTCTGCGACTTTGGAACTTTGCATGTCCATAACTCTTGTCTATTGTATTCCGCGTATCTTTTGGCCCGCATCGCAATTCGCGTATCTGGTGCTGGTGCACAGGGCGTATCCTTTGGGTGTTCTCCCTGTGATTTCAGCTTGGCACAACCTTTACCATTTTAAAAGCGTCACAAGCAAGGGAAAAAGAACCAGGGAAGGAGGAGAAAACACAGCTTTTTGGTACTCATTGAGGCTGCCTATTTTCGGCGGCATGTCTATTTTAAGCCGAACGGTTAAGTGGAGGCAAGGACCTCTATTCATTCACCCCCTTTTATCGAAAATCATCACCTATCTTAAGCCTTTGCAGGAGAACATTTAGCATTTTCGCGATAAAAACTCTTCTTCAATCTTTAAATATTAAAATAAATTATTATTTACATTTCTTTGAATCAATCAATTATTTAAAAATTTATAAAGAAATTAGATATTATCAATAATGATCAGCGCAAGCAGATACAATATTTGCCATTTCTTTTGCACACCATCTAACATACTGCAAAATTTTAAAAGTGTACAGGATGGCATACTTAGGTAAAAATCTTTTCACAAAAAACCAAAAACCTGATAGTCCAGCAGCCTCACTGTAAAGATACTTCTTGTTCTATTTTTTCTATTCTTTTTTACAACTCCTTTACCTCTTGGTACTCTCCATTGTCGATCCCATTTTCCATCCTTTATTGTTGGAAAAAATCCGCCAGCTTCGATTGCCTCTCCAGCTGGTACTTCTCCTCAACTCGAACCCCCACTCCCTAATGTCAACTAATGTCAACCCTACACTAGTAAAAAAGAAGTAGTAAATCCAAGTATTTCATACTCTATTTGAATATTTGTCGTTTTTATTTTCATCCACTTCCGGCTTATAATTATTTTTAATGTTTAATATTCTATTTGAGTGTTTTCAAAACAAAATTAAAATATCTGAAAATGTTTTTTTTTTAAGAATATTAAAGTTAAATTATATTGTCTACTCCCTTACATAAAATATAACAATAATAATGGATTAATTGTAATGGATTATTACAAATATAGTAATTTGTAGTATAGCGATTAAAATTTCAACCATTTTCAACTTTAAATCTAATATTTTTTTACACTAGCTAAAAGGTTAGAATATTAAGTCATGCAGTTTAGTTTGGATTGTACTTAATTTTATAATTTTATATCTGACTTTAATATGAAATGTACAATTATTTGTACTACTATTACTACATTTTTTTGATCAGTGCATCCTTACCCTTCTCTTATGTAGCTTCCGGCTTTATTTAGTTGTCAGTTTGGTTTCCTGGCGTGCCAAATGAAGTTATTTCTTTCCTGTCTTCCTTGTTCTCCGTGGCAGTTGCATTACTTGCAAATTGTTGTGTAACCATAAAAATACTTATTTCCTGGGGCGATGGGATGGCATTCCTTGGCCATTTCCACAAATACTGTGCCATTGCAGTTGGGTGTTAAATGGTTGCCTTGGTCTGCCTGTTAATTGCACAACTTGAACCCTGCATTTAGGGCCTTGGAAAAAATAATAACTGATAAAAACTAGGGTGGTAAATGAAAACTTTACTCTCACCATTAAATGTGGTAAATTTTGGGGTGCAATAAATGTATTCAAATTTAAAACCTTTTTTTTTTGTTTTGTTTTTTGTAGAAATTACTAAATTACTTTTTGATCAAATGAAAGGGTACTTATTATTGATATATTTTGTACGCAATGCGTCCTTAAAGCCTTAAATTCTGCAAAACGCATACTATAAGCGGGTGAAATACAAATTTGGACCACCCTAATGTGAACATGACCAATGGGCAATCTAGCACCCTTTAAGCTTTAAGTTTCTTTTACTTAAAAAAAAACTCTGCAGATGTCCTGCTGCATTCAGAAATGACCTCGAGTCTTACACACATTACACAGGAAAAATATGTTTTTTATATTGATAATTTAAATTTAACTATCAACTAATTTAATATTTTAAGTGTAGGCTTTTTTTGAAGTTAAATTATCATCACACATGGAAATTGTGTTTAAAATAGAAAATATCAACTATAAACTAATTAAATATGTTCAGGTACAGGCTTCTTTTGAAACTAAAATGGTCAATCTGTTTTAAAAATAAAATATAAATTATAAACTAACTCATTATTTTTTAGAACAGGTTTCGATTTTGCTTAAATTATTAAGGAGACTTTGAGAAACCCTTTGTTTGCAGTGCTCTAACAAGATTGCCCTCTTTCCGCCTGTCTGGATGACTACCATACCAAGCTAATCCCTTGGCGGGGGTCATGTGTAACCATTAGACCTTAGACCCTGCCAAAGAACTTTGTCGTGGCTTAGTGTGAATTTAATTTAATTTTGTGAAAGTTTGCCCTGTGCTAAAAGTTTGCAACTCGAGTAATCTTTTCTCGTTTTCTTTGTTTTTCTAGGTGCGTGCCATGGAGCAGCGGCTGAGTGAGTGGCCCAAGCCGCCGCCTCAACAGTCCCAGCATCCGCACCCGCATCCGCACCCGCATCCGCACCAGCCCAATCATCCGCAGGAGCAGCAACAGCATCAGCAGCAGCAGCAGGCTAGAAGCAATAGTTCGCCAAGTCATCAGGTAGGCGGAACCGTAACCGGAACCGGAACCGTCTCGACGGCAGCAGGATCAAGTGCAGTGCCGCCGATTCAGGAAGCGGAGAAAACTATCACTTCCCTGGAGATCCAAGTGGAGGAACAGCGCCAACTGCGACTCCACGACGCCCGGCAAATCGAGGCCAAGGCGGCGAAGATCAAGGAGTGGGTGAACAACAAGCTGCGCGATCTCGAGGAGCAAAACCAGTTGCTGCGCGAGCAGAACGTCAAGTGCAATCAGCAGTTGGAGCTGCTCAAAAATCACATAGCCAATCAATCGCAGCGCCATAGTATCGTAGGTCCTGTGCGGAACAGCCTTAGCCTAGACGTTCAGGATTTCGCCGGTTCGGGAACGAATCCGGAGCATCGGAGGCGGAGCGAAAGCCTAGATCCGCAGGATCCCATCATTGGACGACCCTTGACCAGCTCATATCCCCATCATCAGCATAGAAGAAATCTCTCGATGGAGCCACAGGAATTGGAACGAAATCTGGTGGCTGCAGTGGATGGCCTTACCCTGGCTCCCCTATCCAGCATCTCAAGCAAAGCGCCATCAGGAGGAGGAGGAGGAGGCGGAGGTGGTGGTTCCACTGGTGGATCTGGTGGCATTCCCCGGCCAGATAGCTCCGATACGGATACAGCCCATGATTATGCGGAGATCTACACGCCATCCTGTGAAAAGTTACCCGCCTGGATGAAGAACAATCCGGCTTTGATGGCCAGTGGTGGAAATTCCAGTACCACCACAACCACCACCAGTGAATTGGGTGTGCCACGCCCCCCACACCGCCCCTGCATCGATTTCCCAGCTGGGAGGCCAAGATCTATCAGGTGGCCAACGATGGACTGGCGGGAACAACGAGTACAGGCGAGAGTGCGTCCAGCCATGTAGAACCAGATATTCAAGAGGGCATAGGAATGGGAACTGGAACTGGAACTGGAACTGGCACCAATCTCTCCAATGGCCGACGACATGGTCATAGCCATGGATCTGGTACTGGTACTGGCACTGCTGGAGATGGACATGTCGGGGCCGGTGGAACCCTAGGCAGCACTCCCGGCACACCGCTGCCGCCATCGAGGCAACAACAAACCGCCAGCGGCGGATTCTGTGATATATCCGTGCCCGTCTACGCCACCGTCAAGGGTAGAGCCTCACAGATCCGCTCGATGCCATTTACGGGCGATTCGAGCGACGATTCCAGTGACGGTGAGGACCATGCCGTGATGCTCACCCACCACTCGCACAACTCCTCGAGCACGGACAACACGGAGACCTCCACATCCGGCAGTGCCTCGAGTCCCTCGAAGAGCCTGAAGACCTCATCGAGCTTGAGTCCGGCCAAGCGAAGTGGTTCGGAGAGTCCCAAGAACGCCAAGGCGCGTGGTATGTACCCATGGATAGTGATCATCTAACTTATAGTGCCCTGTAAAACCCTCTCTGGTGAAAACCCATCCTGGCGTAGCGTAGCCCCGATTAGTATGTTGCCCTTCAAAGGGTTACACGCAAATAAATAACTAACTCTAAGCCCTCTATACACCAACTAACACTTGATACCTTTGAGATCCTAGTTGCTTACTTCCTAGTTCCTAGCTCCTAGCTCCTAGTTTCTAAATCCCAAAATCCACAACATTTTTTACTTTCTAGCTCCTAGTTTCGAAATCCCAGAACCGAAACCTTAGCATTATTAGTTACTCCGTTAGACTTCCAACCTAAGTATTACTTTGAAGTCCCGACCACTATGGATTGCTCTTCTTTTTTTTTGTTTATCAAAAGCTATTCCCATTGGTCTCTCCCGCATCCCAAATCCCGTCTAGAGTTTGCCTAGAAGACTAAACTAACGAAGTGTGAAAAGAAACTAATTGTGTGATCTAACAACTTGCGATTCTAACCACTTTTGCCCATCAATCAACCATCGCCGACCGAATAACCAAATAACCGCCATTAACCTTTAACCCATCCACCGCAGTCCACCTCCAATCACGCACATCCACCACACACAGCAGCCACATCAACCAGCTTCTCCAACCGCAATCGCAATCGCACCACCAACACCATAACCACACTTTGCCCAACCACCACCACCACCACAATCATAACCACCAGTTTGGGGCCTACACGCTGGTGCCTTCAAGTGGGCAGATAACGCTGCCACGCCCCCACGTCCCCGCCAACGCCCCCTCCCCCCTCCAGCACATGCGTGGCACAGTAATTTCAGATCTCTCCTTTGAATCAGGCCTCTCGGACGACTACGCCCTGCCCCCCGACGCAGTATCGGAGTCCACGTGCATGGACGCTTCGATGCCATCGCTGCTGATGCGGCAGTCCTACGTGGACTCGCCTAGCAAGAAGATTGAGTCGCTTGAGAAGGTGAGTTAGATGAATATGCACTCAAAGCTTAACACTTTTTGCTTTGTGCTATTGCTGTGAAAGCAAAGCAAAAGCAATGTTTCTAAATTAGTTGAGTGAGCTTCAGAAGCAACAGCCGACTCTTGCAATTGCTGCAAAAGCAATAACTGTGCTGTTGCTATCAACGAAAGCAGAAGCAGAACACTGTTGTTTCAAGATAATTTTGAAACAAACTGTTTTTGAAACCCTGCTTGAAGATCCTTAAGAACCATGTAAATTCGCGTTTCAAACCCTTTTCTTTTTTTGTTTTAGATGGGTCACCTGGCTAAGCTGGGTGGCAAGTTGAAGACTTGGCGCAAGCGCTGGTTCGTTCTGAAGAACGGATCCCTCAACTACTGGAAGAGCCAGCATGATGTGCAGCGAAAGCCCCAGGGCCAGATCCAACTGGACGAGGCATGTCGCATTAACCGGGCGGAGGGTGCCTCCACTTTCGAGATAGACACGGGCAAGAAGGTATACTACCTCACGGCAGACTCACATGCCACCATGGACGATTGGATCCGGGTGCTGCAGAATGTGCAGCGGAGGAATGCCACCAAGCTGCTGCTGAGTCGCGACGACCAGAAACCCACGGTGCAGGGCTGGGTGACCAAGGTGAAGAACGGCCATCCCAAGAAGTGCTGGTGCGTGCTGTTGGGCAAGATGTTCCTGTACTTTAAGGCCCCGGCTGAGACGGTAAGTGAAGAGAATGGAATTCGACTGCGATGGAAGCGTATTAACCGTATAACCCTCGCCTTAAAGAACCCCCTGGGCCAGATCAATATGCGTGATGCCCGAGTCGAGGAGGTGGAACACGTTTCCGATTCGGATTCCGAGGAGCGAGAAGATGCCGCCCAGGATCAGGCTAGACTCACCGTTGCCATCTATCCGGCGCACCAGGGACCAACCTACCTGATCCTGTCGGGCAAACCGGAGCGGGATAACTGGCTTTATCACCTGACCGTCGTTTCTGGCGGCGGTCCAAGTGCTGGCACACAGTACGAACAGCTCGTCCAGAAGCTCATGGAGACCGATGGCGATCCCAGTGAGTCATCTTGCTTGCGAAAGTAACCAATTACATATTTAATACCTTAATACCTTACCCACCTCATTTGCAGACTGCGTCCTGTGGCGCCATCCCATTCTACTGCACACCAAAGACACCATAACCGCCCCGCTTTCCTCCATGCATACGGAAACCATGCAACCGGAGGCTATTAAGCTCTTCAAGGTGAGTGGGCTTTGGCATTCCTCAAAAAAGAGAGACACCTTCTATAGAATCTTTTGCCATCCCCAGAGCATTCAACTGTTCATGTCGGTGGCCGTCAATCAGCCCGGCATCGATTACCACGTGGTGCTCGCCCAGAACGCTCTGCAGCATGCTTTGGATATGCCCGAGTTGCAAACGGAGATGATCTGTATCCTCATTAAGCAGACCTCCCGGCACATGGGCCAGAAGCTCAGTGTCGGCGTCCAGGTAAACAAGAAGCTGGGCAAGCAAACGCGCGTAAGTTTTTCAGTTGCAAAGCTTCTTATGTCCCCCAAAAAAATCAATCCTCCTTCCCTGAACCTGCATCCCCCTGGAAATGTTTAGTTGAATGTCCTTGTTTCTTTGGTGTAGAACTTTCCTCCCCCCAAATCCTCACTAACAACTTGCAAATAACAGCCCAAGAAAGAGAGAAAAGCTCGCAGATGGTGGCGATACTGTGCCGAAGGTACAGTCACCACCCATGCCTCAAATAGGTATTATTTTCTTTGCAATCATTACCAGCCAAAAAGAGCTTTGCTTAAAAGAACAAGCTTACGAACGCTTTATACGAAATATCAAAACTAATCTAACTCAATATCATATAAAAAACATATATACCGAACACTATCAAATAACAGTATCATTTAGAAGTGCATGCTAACCTAACATAACCTTATCTTAGCATAAATGATCGATAATTGAATATTTTTGTATACATTTGTTCGATTTTTAGTTGTTGTTTTTTTAGTAGCGAACAGACAACAAATTTCCCCCATAACTGTCAGAAATGTTTCTGTATGTACATATAGCTTTCAATACATTACTGTATAACTCTATGTGTATCTCTATATACTTATCATCAAAAGCGAAAGACAAGCAAACAGCTCATTGTGTAAAGTATTTGCTGTAAATTTTACAATACCAAAAGAAAAACCACTGAACCACAAAAATCACCTAACCACTGATCAAACATAACACTCAATTAAGCAGCAGCTGCATACTTTTAACGCTCAATATATATATTTTACGTTTTCTGATCAGCAATTAGCGTTGGCAAATAAAGGTCTCTTGTGTTTATATTTGTTTAACGTTTCTAGAGATTTAATGGTTTGCTGCTTTCATACATATATCATTATAATTCGCTTTGAATGTGCTCTTTGTCTTTACCTTTGTATCGTTATCCTTCGCATCACGCTTTTTTGAACGAACATTTTGAAGCGCTTAACGTTACACAACACTGCCAACAGAAAACAACATCAACTACCAAACAAATAAAATTCACACCGCTAATCAAAGATGAGTGAAAAATTGATCCGAAAATGTTCTCTGGCTTCTTCTTCTTTTCTCCATCATTTTGTTGCTTGCGTTGCGTTTCGAACGTTGCGTTTCCGTTGAATGTGTTTCGTTGTAACCGAACCGAACCGAAACCGAAATCGAATCGAAAACCAAATGTTTTCCAACACTGTACGAACGACCGACACCGAAATTTACAGCAACTACTGTTGTGCGCCACCCAAAGCCTGTTCACCTGTGATACCCAACAGGCGGGCCATGCCCAAGCCAACGGCAGTTCGCCCACCTCCATACAGGTATGCGGGGAAATTTATGGTCTCTCTATAAACCACTTTACAATACTACAATACCAAAAACTACCACTCAACCACTCTAATTTTCTGTACTGTACTGTACTGTACTGTAACAATCGTTGTTGTTGTACAGTTGCGTTCGATTTCCGTAGTCACGTAGTAGTTGAAACTCTCCTAACCTCACTTCTACTAACTATATCTCTTAACAACTCCCTGTTATCGTATCATATCCGAACTGACCTCTGACCGATCCCAATCAATATAGGCTCCTCCTGCCACGCCCATAATCGACTGCAAGAGCAACCCGCCCGCCTACAGCTTTGTCCAGGGCTGGCAGCTCCTGGCCCTGGCCGTTTCCCTATTTATACCGCGCTCGAGTCGCCTCCTGTGGTACCTCAAGCTTCATTTGTCCCGGAACGCGGATACCAAGACGGAGACGGGCAAGTATGCCGCCTACTGTGAGCGTGCTCTGGAGCGGACCCTGAAGAACGGGGGCCGTGAGACGAAGCCCTCGCGGATGGAGGTGCTGTCCATCCTGCTGAAGAATCCTTATCACCACTCGCTGCCGCATGCGATTCCCGTGCACATGATGAACAGCACCTACCAGGTGAGTTTTTGGAAGGGTTTGAAATGAAAGCAAAGCAATAACAGTATATAGGAAATAATAAAGTATTAACTTTGCTTTGTTGTAAAATGTCAGGCTGCTGCTGTGAAAGCAAAACATTCGCTTCTCCTTCCATTTTTCTAAAGTGTAAAAGCCACAAAGATACAATAACAGCATTTTGAACTCCCAAAAGCAAAGCAAAACCTTGCTTTTTTGTGGCTGTCAGCCATTTGGAAACTGCTGTGAAAGCATTTCATTTGATTTTGCTTTTGCATCGACTTTTGAAAGCGAAGCTACATTAGCAGCATTTTGAATTACCAAAAGCAAAGGAAAACATTGCTTTCGTGTTACATTTGCTTTGAATTTTATAAGCATTCCGAAAAGAATTTGGTAACATATGTTAGCATTACTTCGAAATTGTATGTTTGTGTAAAATTGCTTTTGCAGCATTAGTGCACTAGTCGACTGTTGCTTTCGAAATCGCACAGCAAAATCAGAAATGTTACTACTGCTTTCGTTTATATTGCACAGTTATTGCTTTCGCAGCAACAGTAAAAGTTGGCTGCTGCTTTCGAAACTCTCACAGCAGCACAGTCAAAGCAAAGAATGGAAAGCAAAGCTCTACCCATCAGTTCCATTCAGTTGCTCACCCCAAACTTTGTCCCAACCCACAGGTGGTTTCTTTTGATGGCTCCACAACCATTGAGGAGTTCCAGGCCACTTTGGCCCACGAGTTGGGCACGCGGGATGCCACCAACGGGTTCTGCCTGTTCAGCGACGATCCGATCGAGAAGGATCTGGAGCACTATCTGGAGCCGCTGGCCAAGCTGTGCGACGTGATCAGCAAGTGGGAGACGGCGCTGCGTGAGAAGGGATCAGGAAAGTTCGAAAACTCACGCGTCATTCAGCTGAGCTACAAGAATCGCTTGTACTGGAAGCACACGATCAAGTGCGAAACGGACAAGGAGCGCCTGCTGCTGTGCTACCAGACCAACTCACAGATTGTCCAAGGCCGATTCCCTCTGTCCAGGGAACTGGCGTTGGAGTTGGCCTCGCTGATGTCGCAGATCGACATGGGCGACTACTCGCTGGAGAAGTCTCGCGACGTGGGCGTGGGCCTGAAAGGTCTGGACAAATTCTATCCGTATCGGTATCGGGATGCCCTGGGTGCCGACCAGCTGAAGGATGTCCAGGAACTGCTCGTGTCCAAGTGGATGCTGCTGAAGGGTCGCTCCACGCTGGACTGTGTGCGCATTTACCTCACCTGCTGCCGCAAGTGGCCGTATTTCGGCGCATGCCTGTTCCAGGCGAAGCCGCGCCAAAGTCCGGACACCAATACTCCGGTGGCTTGGCTGGCCGTTGCCGAGGATGCCCTCAACGTGCTCGAGCTGTCCACGATGGCGCCGGTAGCCAGGTATCCCTACAGCTCGGTGATGACCTTTGGCGGCTGCCAGGATGACTTCATGCTTGTGGTCTCGCACGATGACAGTGAGCAGAAGCTGCTGTTTGCCATGAGTAAGCCCAAGATCTTGGAGATCACTTTGCTTATTGCGGACTACATGAATGCTTTGGGTCACACGGTGCCGGGCACTCCGCAGATGAACTCCCTCACCCGGAATGGTTCGCATCGTTCGCTGCGTGCCTCTCAGCGTCCGACCTTGGGCGGTGGTGTTGGTGGCGGCTCGGCGGTGGCCACCGGCTTCTCCACGAATGCCACCACCACGGCTCACAACACGCTCAATTCGCATGCCACGCACACGCTCAACTCGAACCACTCGCACACACTGAGCAGCTCTCATCACGGCGGAGGAGGACTAGGAGGATTAGGTGGCGGAGGAGGAGGAAGTCACCCCGGCACCTTGAGCTCGGGTCACCATCAGCAGCAGCATCATCATCACCACCAGCAGCAGCAGCACCATCAGCCGGATATACTGAAGAGCACGCCGGATCATCAGAGGATTAAGTAGGAGAGAGAGAAGGATCTCAGACAGGGAAGATAAACGGCGTATAGAAAGGTGATTCCTGGACGGATATGAAGGATATATAGGGCTGAGGAGCGAATTAAGTAGGGGAAGAGTTCGCTCGGATCTCGAAAGGAGATATAATAGAGGAAGGAAACACTAATGGAAGGTGGTATCCTAAAGGATAACACCAGCAACATCAGCCATAGATACCGAAAAGTAGAGAGAATCTCAAAAGGAAAGATATTGTGTGAAAGAATATATAAAGGATAACAGAAAAGAGGATCGCAGAAAGAAGTAAAGAAAAAGAAGAAGCTTATCCCTGCTGAAAGATCACACACATTGTACATAAACGAGGATCACGCAGCTAAACACCAGACATATACGACTAAACGATACATATGCACCAGCCTAGTGGCTACAAATATACACCTAAAGATAGAAACATATAAAGATAGAACGTTGCAGAAGATAGTTGGATAAATGGATAGTTGGATAGATGGATAGTGGAGTCGACTTAGCTTAAGCGGCCTGGGATGGACCTTATTCTCCTTGCGCACCACTCACTACAGTTCTTTCCTAAGCTAACAAACGGTACTCGTACTCTAAAACTTAATTGTAAACAGCAGCAGCAAGCCGCATATATATACATATATATATATTATATATTTAATTTTTTTGAATAGTCCTAAGTCCAGCGTACCCCGAAATTTATAAGGTATGTGAAGAAACTATACTGAACTTGAATCTCAAAGTTTAGATTGTTCTTGTCTTATTATTATTATATTTTTTTTTGTTACTTTTAACCAGCAAACAAGCAAACAACACACAACCTGTAGAAATGATATTTATTCGAGTATTCTCGCTCTTCGATGCTTTGTAATGAATCTCAATTTGTAATTGTCCCTCCATGCGCGAAACTGCCTTTTGAATTTGTAGATGTCGGAGCCAGAACGAGAAATACAAAAAAAGAAAAGAAAACGAAGCCAAAAAACACGCAAAACAAGCGAACTAGCATTCTAGCATTAGCTGAAAACCAACCAATTGAGGAAACAAAAAAAATATTTTGTAAAGGATTTTTCAAGCATCAACCAAGCATCCCCATCTATAGTACATCATGATGATATTTAATAGGTACGCCCCCCGATTCCTATGGTTTCAGCAATTTTATAGATTTTTTTTTGTTTTATAATGCATTTTTTTAGCCTGTTCAGTGTCTAAATGTATAACAGATGTATAACAGAAATCTTATACACAAATCAATTAGTCAACAAATTCAATCTCGTCTTGATAATTTATAACCCAATTTTTTTTAATCACCCCCTTCTTCACACACACACACGCATTCATATATACATAGATATATATATATATAGATTGTATTCGGATTCGATATTTAAAAGAAATTATACACACCAAATTAACGATATAGCAGTGTAAATGGTAACAGCGCATTTTTTTCCTATTTGTAAAGATTTGATATTACAAATTTATATGTGCGACGAGAGACGACGCAACGAAAACGGATAGAATCGAGAATCTCATTGGGAAGAATCGAAAAAACAAGAAGGCTTGCAAGCGAATATAAACTATATAGGCGAATGTATCACAACATCACAATCCAGTGAAACGAAATATATATAATGGAAAATTAACGATTAAAAACTAAACCAAAAAAAAAAAGGCACCGTCGTTGTTTTGAATCTTTCATCTTTCGGGTTTTGGGTATTGTAGCTAGCATACACACAGTTTTGTCTTTTTATTAAACAATGTAAATTGATTTATTTTCCTTAATTTTATACATATATAAATTGCCTAAAACTGTTATCGTTTCATTTCTTTTCGTTTTCCTTGCTCTGCTTTTTTTTTTTCTTTTTTCAGTTTATATCAATTACCCCGGCCGGATTCGCTCTGCAATCAGTATGCGATTCCATCTACAAACTAGACATTTATACACACACACACGCGCGCGGATCATATCAGCTTTTTTAATTTACAAAGGTCAAAGGTCAGCGTTGAATGACAATCAAATAACAAAGGGAGCGTAAAGTTATAAGTTAATGGAATATAAGACCGTAAAGAAAGCAAAAAGAAGGTAAGTTCAAATAATAAGTTAAACAAAAGCCTCGGAAGCGGTTCGTTTTTTTTTCAGTTTGGAGTGGGTATAGTGTGTGTGTGTGTGTGTATTCTTGGGAACAGGTGTACAGGTGTACTTGGCGTAATCTAAGTGTCTTTTTTTGACCTTGCGTCTTTGACGCTCGAACACGACAGCAGAGAACGCACCGCTCCAAGTGGCCAAAGGGCCAAGACACACGGCTGGGCTGGGCTGGTCTAATCGGATCTGATCTGGAGCTGCTCATCACGAATATTACAGAACCCAAAAGTACAGGATGAACACTAGGAATATGATGCCCACGGCCGCCGCCTTCACGTACATGGACTTGCGGTTCAGAAGTTTGGCGTCTTTCTTGTACTTTTGCGACATCATCGACAGGTTCTGGGTCTTGGTGTCGAGTTCTGAAAGAGGGAAGAATTTTATAAGATAAAAAGAGTTATTCCTTTTATATATATCAAAGTTTAAAGGTATCTTTTTGAGTAAATAAATATCATTATCTTATTTGATGGTAATCCTACCCCTTCATAGCTCAAAACTTTGAAAAGAATTTGTAAATTTGATATGGTCTACCTTTTTCTCAGTTAGGAAAGTAAATCAGTACAGCAAAGCAAATAGAGCTAGAACTTTTGAGTATAGATAGTCTAAAGGATGATTCTTTATATATTATTTGATGCTCTATCCTAAACCGTTTTAGCTTAAAATGGTTATGGTCCACACCCTCTTTCTGACTACAGACAGTTTTGGAGTACTTTTTTTGGCGTGATAGTTACCTGCCAGTACTGTGCCACGTTGGAGCACATCATCAATGTTCTGGACCATGATCCGCTGCACATCCTGCAGCTGTGTGTTGATGCTGCTGATGTTGCGCCTGCGGTCGGTCAACTGCTTTTTCGCCTTCTGTATGTACACGTCGAACTCGATGAATGCGTATGGCCGCGTCACCGAGTTGACCCGCCGGCCGTAGTTGGCATGGAACTCCTGGGCCAGGTCCTCCAGATAATTGAAGGCCAGTCGCTTCGAGTACATCTTGTCCACCATCACCAGGTAGCACACGTCGTTCTCGATTAGGTAGCTGCGGGAAAAAGATGATGTAAGTAAATAAAAATCGAATTTACATGTAATTAATTTCATCACTTAATTCAACATCTCAACTATCAAAAGTTATTACGTATTTTTTCTGTCAGTTGAGTTGTACATTGCATCAGCTTGTACTTTTTTTCTTTTTAGATTTCTGCTGATTGCCAATACAATAAGTTTTCTTAGAAATTGCTAAGTATTGTTGAGCAAGTTCCTCCATAAAAAGGGGATTATGTACATTGCATTTTATAGTCTTTGTTCCTCTTTCTATACAACTTTGATAAACATTGCTATTCAACTTTGCTGATTGACAATACAATGGGTTTTCTAAGGAGTCTGCTGATTGGAATGCACATTGCATCATCTAAAATTTTTAAAAATGTAATTCTGATAATTGGGCCGCAAATTGCATCATATAATATTGGTTTCTTTTATAAATTACATTGATAAATCTTTCTAAAAGTCTTTACTGATTGTCAATACTATGGGTTTTCTAAAGGTTACTGAGTATTGTTGAACGAATTCCCTATAAGTACAGATTGCATCTTCTAATCTTGGCTCTTTTAATTTAATTTAAAGGGTTAATAGATATGGTTAATAATCTTTACTGATGTCCAATACAATGGTTATTTTTGGGAGTGACTAAGGAATACGAATGGTAATACCTTAGTTGGCCTGCACATTGCATCATCTAATCTTGGTTCTTTCAACTTAATTTCTAAAGTTTATAAATTAAGCTAATAGTCTTTACAATATGCCCATGAAATGGTTTATCTAGGGATTATTGAACGATTGATTCTCTAGAAGACTGGCTCCCATGATAAGTAATGGGCATTCTCTTTATGGAGGCGCCTCCTTGGACTACGTTACTCACTGGAATAGGTAGGGTCCTGTCTCGATGCTGCTCCTGGCTGGCGAGTGGGTGCCCAGCTTGCGGAAGAGCATCTTGGCCTGGTTTTGGTAGTCCAGTATGCTGCGTCCGCTCTGAAAGTGAAAGTGTGTGTGTGCCGTGAGTTGCGGAAGCAGAAGCGGAACGGGTTAGAAAGTGGTGGAAGTGATTACGCTACCTGCTCGTCATCCTGCATGGTGCCCACCAGAGGGAGGCCATCGATGACCCTGGCTATCATGGTCAGCAGTGCCATGCTTGGATCCTGGTTATGATTCTCTGTGGGATTGGTGGTTCGCTGTCACTTTGGCCACGGCTGCACTTTGCCTAGCCACTTATCTCCCCGTTGGCTACTTATTTCTGATGTGGCTCTACTTTCAACCTATACAATACATTCCAGTTTAATCCAATACAGTCCAATTCCAGGTCCAATGGTTGAATAGTTGAAGTTTGAGTCAGGGCGTCCCAGTTTCAATCTTCCTTACTTTCGTTTTCACAACTCAGCTGATCCTGCCTGCAGTGCTCCTCCGATTCCGATTTCTATTTCGATCCAGAAATCCCCGGACTTCCAAGTGGTCAATGGGTCTGTGCCTCAAATTGGTTCAATGGGGCATCGCTTGCGGTGAAAAGCAAGTTGCAACGGGCGGATTTGGGGGTTTCTGGGATGCGATTCGTTTGTTGTAACCAAACCACGTCACCGGTGTGACCGCGGAAATATACCAAAAACTATCGAAAGTATAGCGCAGACGGTCACCCTAATTGCTACAACTGCGGCAAAGTTTATGTTTTTCTCGATACTATCGGTTTCGCAAAATTATTCGTTATGCGTTTTAAAAAAATGTATAAGCAATATATCAATATTTTTACCCCTTTAAATCAGATACCTCTTACAATACTTTTTTTTAGAGTTAGCTTGAATTTTGTAATGATAGGTCACATCGTTTTAATTTTTCAAAATTTATCTTTGCAGAAACCTGAAACAGGCACTTTTAAGCTTATTACTTTTCTCAAAGAAATCTAATTTTTAAGTGGCATACCGTTAAATGTTTTGTTAAATGAAATTTCAAAATATCTGCGCTTATTTGTTATTTTGTAACTTCGAGTTTTTCTTGACATTTTAAGGAAATAATTTGCTATTTATATTTTTTTCAAAAATTTCTCTAAAAACTTAAAACTAGCACTTTTAAGTCCATAATTTTTCTGACAGATATCCATTTTTAAAGGGCATAACCATAAAAGTTTGTGGCTTGAATTTCTAAAAATCCTCGTTTGTGTGACCTGAAAATTGTACCTTGAACTCATTGAAAATAAATCAGCGTTGCTGTCAAGTGCCCATTCCTGTTTGCTATTTGAGTTATTCACCAACATAAATCGGATTGCCTGGCATCCCGCACCTATTTCGGCATGCGTATGCTCCAGACGCTTATGCAACCCGCTCCGAATCCGCTGGCGCGGATGGAGGCAGTGCGCTCGAAGCGAACGCATTGCTCAGATGCTTCCTCGACAGCGGACCGCCCAAAAGTGGGCCCAACAGGTTTCGCCCGCGGTGAGCATCCATAGTTATAGTTAGTCCACGTCCAAAGCCACATCTACATCCCAGTTTTTGGCCCGAAAGAAAAAGTGGTTGGAGCTAGAAAACCGGACTTGAAGCAGGGACTTTCAGGCTAGGCAATTCAATTACCTGTACCTGTGGGTACTTGTACTTCCAATGCGTGTGCGTTTAGAGTGACCATCGCAGCAGGTACACTGCAAAAACTAATTTGTTTTTTATTTATTTACGGACTGTGAGCATAGAGGTATAACTAAAGGTATAGAAAGGGATGACAGTCATAACTATTTTGGCTTTTAGCTGTATGTATTCTATTTATTTTTTTGTATCTGAAAAAAGTTTAAAAGTATAATTTTTAAACATTCCTATCCCTTTGGTTTTTTTTTTTTTTTTTTTTTGTAAATTTAATGAATTTTTTTTTTTATTTCTTAAATTTTTATTTATTTTGTTTATCTGGCTCTTAAAGTTCATATTTTTAAACAGCATTTAACGAATGAATCCAATGAATGTTTTTTTAAGCATCTTTTGACGAAAATAAAAGATTGTACGCAAAATTTGTTTGCGTTTGGCAAAAATTAAGCATTTAAGTTAACCATTTTTTCTCTCTGTGTATTGGTTCACCCGGCTCGAAATGCGTCTGCTTCCGTTTAACTGAATTTGGACTCCTTCCTTTTTCCGTTTTGGAGGCGGAGGTGTGAGACATACATAAGGCATATAAACGATATAAAAGCCAGTCGCTCCGCCCAAGTGCTCCACAAACCAAAGTCAGTTATGGTCGGTTGCGGGTCAATTCGTGCGACGCTTTTGGGCCTCCGCCTCCTGCTGCCGCTCCTGCTGCCGCTCCTGCTAGCCAGGCTAGCCAGCAGCCAGCAGCTGCTCCTCGCGCGTCGAGATCCGAGATCCCTGTTCGAGGAGCATCCGCTGGAGCAACTGCCGCCACTGGGCTGGAATAGCGTGGGTGGTGGCTATGGAGTGGGCCAGTGGGCCTACAACCCCGTTGGCCTGGGCCACATGACCAAGGATGAGCTGCTCACTTTGCTGGAGGCTTGGAAGGAGGTGGAGCAGGAACAGGAGCAGGAGCAGGAAAAGACGACTGCCCAGCCGGCAGAGTCCACGACGAGGAGGCCACCGCCACCACCTCCTCCTCCACCTTCTCCACCTCGCCCCATTCCCATTCCCATGCCCATACCCATTTCTATACCCATGCCTGCTCCAGTTATTCCCTCTGGAGCTCAAATAACCGCTAGGCTACCAGCTTTTCTGCCTATACGCCTGGCAGCCGTGTTCACTCCGCCTGGAGATGCTGGAGCTGGTGGAACTGGTGGTGGTGCTGCAGCTGGAACAGATGATGCCGGGGGAGGAGGAGATGACCTGGCCTCCGACAATGGACCACATGACGATGCCTCGCCCCACCTCTTTCGCTTCATGGCCATGCCCAGGACCCAATCCCAATCCCAATCCCAGCCCAGACAGCAGTTCGTGGTGAGAAACACCCTGGACAGCGTGGATGCGGGCACTGCTCCAGTTCGGCAACAGGTGAAGCCGGAAGTCAGGCCCAAAGCGGTTGCAGTATCTCCTCCATCCTCCATTTCCATTCCCAGTCCCATGCCCATTTCCAAGGCTCCAGCTCCCTTCTTCCGCCCCAGGTAAGCATAAATGGTAGCTGCTCCCTGACAACTGGTCACTGATTCTTCTGAAATCCCCACCAGATTCGGTGTGCCTCCGCATCTGGCCCATGCCCGCTTCGAACTGGTGCCCTCCTCCCAAGTCATCGGAGATTGGCGGGAATGATGATGGCCATCCTGGCGAGATACATGCGGATTTCACTAACCAAAAGAAAAGAACATCTTCCGAAGGAGGCTTCCAAGCTATTAGTCCATCCCCATTGCCTCCTTAATTTTATTTTATTGTATTATATAACATTATTTTGTGCTCCTAAATATATAATGGAATTAGTCATAGGCTAACAACATACCAAAAAACGTAATTTTCATTCACTTTTAGTTGAAATTTCAGCCTGTGGCGAAGTTTTTTCTTCAAAATATGCTTTTAAATGCAGAAAAACAAGAAAACTAGATAGTTTATTAAGGGTGAGGAAGCGAAAAATAAGCATAATATTTTTTTCTAAAGTTTAATGACTTTTTATTATACAACTTTTTAAGAATGTATGAATGTTTTATATTTTATATATTTTTGAATATTAATTTACTTTTTTAAATTATGAAAGTATTTAAATTAGCAGTTATCGATTGCAGATAACCGATAACAATCGACACCCCCAGGCCGACGCTGTCCAACACTGGCCCTCAGCTGGGTGGGTGCTGCAGCGCTGCCAGACCGTCCATGAGAATAGGAACACGTCGAGGGGAAATCGCAATTTGCCGATTGATTGCCGCGAAAATCAGGGCCGTGAAAAGTGTTTATTATTGGTGCGAGAGTGCGAGCAAGTGTGGTGGAAATATTGGGCGCCTCCAAAACGCACCGCAAAGCTGCAAGTTCGCGGGAAAAACTCCCGCTGTGGCGACCCGACTGGCAACCCTCGCCGCTTTCCCGCCTTTTTCTATGGCGAGAAATGGAATAAAAGTACACAGTGCGGCGCTAAAAAGTTACATGTCCGTGAGGAGCGAAGCGGGAAAAGCTAAACAAACCGGTGGCCACTAGGAAAAGTCACTGGTGAAGAGCATACACGCACGAGTAGAGCAGCAGGAGCAGCAGGAGGAGCAACCCCACTTTTGGGCTTTCCAACCCCCCGCCACCGTCGCCGCCTTCCACACACACATTCTCTTCCTAATTACAATTCCAGGCTGCTGACGGAAGCAGCGGCTGGAACATCCGCATCTGCAGGAGCATTCACATCCGCAGGCACATCCGCAGCAACAGAGGATCACAGAATCACAGGATGAGCGAGCCCGAGCCGCAGGAGCTGGGCGCCGAGGTGGTCAGCGGATCGGTGGCCAGCAGCGATGACCAAATCCAGGAGATGAAGGCCAAGTACACGAATCTCTGCCGGGAGCTCAACATGGATCGCCAGACGGAGCAGCAGGGCTACAAAATGTACGAGCAGGTCTCCCAAAGGTGCTCCTTGGAGGTGAGTTTCTAAGAAGGGGTGTTTGTATGGTTAACTGGAGTGTAGTACACTATATCTACTTGGAGATATCGTCAGAAGTGAAGCTATCCATAAAGTATATATATATATTCTTGATCTAGCCATTCCCGTCCGTCTGTTTCTTCGCAAACTAATCAGTTAGTTATGTATATAGAGTTAAAGTTTTCTTTCCATTGCAGTTGGTATATAAATACGAACGGGGCAGATCGGACGACTATATCATATATCTTTTATAGGAAAATTCAGAAAAAAGAAAATTGAAAAAAATATAACTGCGCAGCTATTTAATTTATATCAAATGCGATAACAATGGTGTAAATATTTCACAATTACGGTTTTAATTATATTATATAAAATTCAAACTGCGCAGTTTTTTTTTTTAATTTATAATTTATAGTAGTGATTTGAATATTACAGAATTACGGTTTTGAATTCCCAAAAATCGGACAACAATAGCATAAAGACATAATCTTAATTGTCGGGATAATACAATAATTATAAAAAAATTAAAACTTCATTTGTTTTAAACAAATAAGCATAATAATTGAGATATATTCGTTTTATAAAATAATTTATTTTTGTTATAGTCGCATGAGTAAAAAAACTTTAATTAACTTTTTAAAAAATCATCAAAATAGTTTTTTAAATTTAAAAACGATCCATGCAGTAGTTTTGAACTTATAATGGGCGACTTTAAAAATACGACTTCATAAAATAAAGCATAAACAGGTTTATCAAAAGGCATACTTAAGTGAATTTAGCTACGTTTGGATTCTTAAGGTGTTATGCATTCATTTATTTATAAAGAAATATTTATTAAAAGTTATTTATAAATAGTTAAAAGCCTAGCGCGGCAAGCTAAGAAGCTTATGATTTTAGCACTAGTCACAATTCGTCTTAAACTGATCCCAAACTAAAATCTACTTCTTGTCCACAGGGCGAGTCCATCCACTGGCTGTGCTGCGCCTTGTATGCCGCCTGCCGAAGATCCAGCACGCCCACAGTGATTGGCCAGGATGCGGTGGTCAGGGGCAACTGTGTGTCTTTAAATAATCTGCTGCGCTGCTGCCAGATGAGGTGGGTTTTTGTCTAGTAGTTTCCTAGCCCAACTATATCACTAACCCAAAACCTATGCCAACAGCATCTACGACTTCAAGACCAAGATCAAGCAGTGGTGCGACATGGCCAACCTGCCGCAGGAGTTCGTCAACGAGATCGAGGTCCTGGATCGCAAGTTCAGCATCACATTCACTCTGTACAAGCGTTTCCGCACCATTTTCGACAAGATCTTCTCGTGTCCGCCCAACGAGAAGAAGCACTCCAAGTATATGTAAGTATCATGGCATTCAGTGTTGGAGTGTACCTAGATACTTGTACCTAGGTACACTTTTTACCTAGTTTTACCTATGTAAACAAATATGAGGCTACCTTTATCCTTACCTAGGTGAAGATTTTTATTTATCTTCAAAATTTGTTGTAAAAGGTATTTAGGTACTGAAATATTTTTATTAAATTTTGTTTTCGAATAATTTAATTTTGTATTACTGCGATTCACTGCAAACTAAAGAAAAGTTAACTCCACCGCACATGCAAGATATTGTACTTCGTTAAGAACAAAACTTAAAAAAAAAAAAAAAGATTGTATACAAAAATGTTTTTTTTTACACTTTTTGTACCTTTTACCTTGGCTAGATATATAACAAATTGTGTACCTTTTACCTTACCTAAGTACTTATTTCCACACTGGGTGGCATGTTGTATGAATCTAAACTGAAATTTGAATATCTGCAGCTCCCTGCATGGCAACCATGCGCATGGCAAGTGCTCCTACATCAAGCTGGATGACATCTGCTGGCGTTTGTTCTTGTGCGCCAAGAACCAGAAGCCAAGCAACACCGTGGACCTGGTCACCTCGTTCAACCTGATGATCTGCTGCATCGATCTGATATACAACAATGTGCTGGCCGAGAAGCGCACCGATCTCATCAACCCCAAGTTCGAGGGCCTGCCGAGCAACTGGACGGAGCTGGACTTCCGTCACAAGCAGCACTGCATCCTGGCCAACTTCTGCGACATGACGGAGGAGGCCAAGGCCATGAAGGCCACCACCTTTCGCGAGATCATGTCTAGCTTCTTTCAGACTTCGGTGGGTGTTTGTTTGCTCTCCAAAAACCCCACCTATAACAACCCTCTATAACATTACCCTCATCAGACCATCTATGGCAACAAGGACACCATGCTGGGCCTGCTGACCAACGAGAACTGCGAGCGGAACCTCAAGTCGCTGAACATCAGCTACGAGCAGTATGTGCTGAGTGTGGGCGAGTTCGACGAGCGCATCCTGAGTGCCTACGATGCCGGCGATCACACGGGGCTCAACGATCAGGCCCTGCGGCCGCCGGTCACGCCGCTCACCCGCAAACAGGACCTTCCCGCCCAGCCGGCGATGGCTGGCGACAAATTCGAGCCCGTCCGCAACGCCACCAACAACGTGAAGCAGCTCATTTCCTTCGGCCGCATCACAGAGCCCACGGACTTTGTCAAGTAAGCGTTATGCACTCCTTGGGTACTCGCTCGGTTACTCGGTTACTAATAGAAACTCGATCCCCTCCCCCCATATCTGCATAAACAAGTCATTGGCGAAAAGGTGTAAACAAAGGCCATTGTTATACCCTTGTAGGGGGGTATTAGAATTTCAGTCTGAAGTTGGCAACGCATTTCCGACCCTATAAAGTATATGTATTCTTGATCAGCGTCACTAGGAGAGTCGATCTAGCCATGTCCGTCTGTCTGTCCGTCCGTTTCTTCGACATTAGTAAAAGCAAGTAAATCATAATTTTAACGTTTTATAAAGAATATTTAAATTATGCAATAGCTGCAAGGGTATATGAACTTCGGCTTGCCGAAGTTTGCTTCCTTTCTTGTTTATAAGTTAGTTTTAATATTTCTTCGATAATCTTCGTTCAATCTCCCTTGCATTGTTCAGTCTACAGTTGACTTGAGTATAGATCGGTGCACTTTTCGGTAATTTTGCGTTAGCAAATGTCTTTTCCAACGAATCTGATCATATGGAAAGTTAAACCACCTTTTATTTTATATATTTAAAATAAACAAGTGCCGTATTTCTTTGCGATAGATTTATGTAACGGAGTGAAACTTAGATTGTGAGAGTGAAATGAATTCTAGTGTTTGCTTTTAGCCAGAAACCCAATGTTTTTCAAAAAATTGTTTTTTGGACAGCTTAAACCTTAAAAATTTATGTAAATATGTGAAAAATAATGAATACTTTGCTAAGATGATGCCTGTAAAATAAACTGGAGTATATGCAGAGTTTAAGCCAAAGATTAACGTCAATAAGTCAAACTTTAAGGTATATATTTTTTTTGTTTAGAAAGTGCCTGTAAAATGAACTTGAAAATATGTTAAGTTTGGGTACTTAGGATTTTAATTACTGATCTTGTAACCATAGCACATTTTTTTCTATTATTAATTTATTTATTTGACATCCTAGCACTTGTTATTTAATGCGTTAGTCACGAAAAATTACAATAATTGTATCGCATATCCAATCTAATCTTATACAATGGTTCGTTTTTCTTTTGCTTTCCGATCTGTAGGCAGGCTGGCGAGGAGGTGATCGCCAAGCTGCTGAACATCATCGAGGAGATCAAGCAGAAATTCCTTGCCAACTATCCGTCGACGGAGGCGAAGAGCCGCTTCCGGCTGGCCAAGTCCTTCTACTTCTACCTGCTCGACCAGATCCTGCAGGCGGAGATCCGGAACAAGCCGGACATCGATCTCAAACGGCTGCTGGTGCAGAAGATCTCGCTGGACATCTTCAACATCACGCTGATGGCCTGCTGCGTGGAGCTGGTGCTGGAGGCCTACAAGACGGAGCTCAAGTTCCCGTGGGTGCTCGACTGTTTCAGTATTAGTCCGTTCGAGTTCCAGAAGATCATCGAGATCGTGGTGCGGCACGGCTCGCACGAGCGCTGCCTCAATCGCTCGCTGATCAAGCACCTCAACGCCATCGAGGAGACGTGTCTGGAGCGTTTGGCCTGGTCGCGCGACTCGCCCGTCTGGGACATGATCGCCTCCGCCTCGCTGCCGCTGCCCACCTCGCTGGTGGTGAACCGCGACCGCTCCGCCGGCGCCCTCCAGATCTTCCTACGCAAGGTCTACCTGCTCGGCTGGCTGCGCATCCAGAAGCTCTGCTCCGAGCTGGGCCTCTGCGAGAAGACGCCCGAGTGCATCTGGCACATCTTCGAGCACTCGATCACCCACGAGACGGACCTCATGAAGGACCGCCACCTCGATCAAAATATCATGTGTGCAATATATATCTACATTAGGGTGAGTACAGCATGTGGGCATCACTCTGCGATGCATTATCAATGTTATCTAATGCCCTAAGCCTCGATCAAAATATCATGTGTGCAATATATATCTAAATTAGAGTGAGTACACCGCAGCAACAGCACTATGTTTTTGTCTCTGTTCAAATCGCGACATTACATAATGCTGTTCGATGAGCGCAAGGAGACAACTATATATAGCCGCCATATTCGAAGTCAGCTAGGATATAGCTATTAAAAGTTATCACTTTTATAAGAGTTTGTGCATACTAAGATTTTTAGAAAGTCATTTGGTTTAATTTTAAATTTATTTGCTTCTTGTTTTTTCTTTTTTTAATGTTAGTAATTTAAGTAATTGTTCTAGTTGCATTTATTTTATTTTATAGATTATGTTTGACTTGTGTAAGAGTGAGATATTTGATTGAATGTTATTCTTGTTGGGATTGGATAAACATATAACGATGGATGGAATTTGTGATACATATTCCCTCATGTTAAACCAATGATTGACCTAGTTTAAGAACCCTACTATCCACACAACCGGTTAATTCTCGATTGCTCTTGCGCAGGTAAAGCGGATGGAGGATCCCAAGTTCAGTGACATTATGCGGGCGTACCGCAACCAACCGCAGGCGGTGAACAGCGTCTACCGCGAGGTGTTCATCGGCATCAATGACGACGGCCAGCCGAAGGTGAAGGACATAATCCACTTCTACAACAACAAGTATGTGCCGATGATCCGGCAGTTTGCCATCGACTATCTGAACGTAACGCCGGACGTGAGTGGCCGCACCTCCGATCTTCTGCTCTCGCCACATCCCAAGGAGCGGGCCGCCCAACCCAAGAAGGTCACCCAGAACCACTCGCTCTTCGTCTCGCAGATGCCCAAAAACGAGATCCAGCAGTCGCCCAACCAGATGGTTTACCGCTTCTACCACAGCCCTGCCAAGGTTTGTATAACTTTTGGTGACTTTTGAGGGGGGTGAATCAGGATCAGGAATTTAGAAGGTTATAGTTCTGGCTATTATTAGTTCTATTTTTGCTTTTATGTAATATGGAAAATGGGAAATTCATTTTCTAATAAGATATAGTCAACTTACCAGCTCATTATTTGATAGTAAAATGAAGTTCTTTGCATTGCTTAGCAAGATGTTGTAAGCTTATAACGATTATTAACCAGAAAAGGTTTTTAAACATTTAATATTAATATAAGCCATTTCTGTTTTTGTTTAAAATCGCTATAGGTTTTCAACATCTTTCATTTAAAATTGTTTAGATATTAATTACATTTATTTTGCGCCAATATCTAAAGGGTGCGAGTAAAACTCCTTATATAAAACTAGCACTTGATTTCATTCCTATGCTTTTTCCACAGGACCTGCAGCTGATGAACGAGAAGGTGCGCGGCGGCAAGCGGATGCTGAGCTTCGGCGACGAGCCCGGATTGGGTGGCATCGTGGAGATCAAGCGCCTGCGGGAGCTGCCGCCGCACCTCAAGGCTGTGATGGACGACCGGGAACTGCAGTCCGCCGAGCAGCTGCAGCAGCAGCGTACCACTTTGCCAGCGGAAGGAGCAGGAGGCGGCCAGGGAGGCGGTGGCGCAGGAGGAGAACACGAGACATAGACATGGGGCTACTGGGGGCAGCTTAGACTTAAGGTTATTACAACAAGAACTAAAACAAAAGGAAAAACTATAACTACAAAAATCCGGCGCCGGCGGCCAATCTTTCTACACGCTTGCTTCTACGGCGCACGCTCGACTATTTTATGATTGTTTTTTTTTTATTAACTCTTTTAGTTTGACATTTTAATTTAAAACCCAAACAAAACACCACCCCACAGCCAATTTATACGCATCTCTTTTATAGTTTGCTCAACGCCAACCATATAATTCATGTATGCTAACCAGCCTAACCCTACAATATATGTAAACACAAACAATACTTGAAAGTAATTTTAGTAAATACCTGCACACACCACCCACATCCATCGGTCGCAGTTCCTTCTGGGTCCATCGCCAAAGCTGGAGGGGATCCGGATGGATCTGGGTGGACTGCGGCCACTAACAAATCAACTAAGGCAATCCACATATACACACATGTATACAAAATACACTTTATAAAAATTGATATTCATTGTATTGATTTCTGCATCCGGGGAGAACATTTTAAACCCCATATTTATGACCTCTGTATATATATATAAAGTTAAATGAAATGTTGATGCAAAAGGGTTTTTGGAATTTTCATAAGGGGTACAGCATAAAATTGTGTTGCTAAAACGAGTTGTCGTTTATGTTCGACTGCATTTTAAAGGTTAACATATTTTTACAATTTGTTTAATTGGTACCTTTACAAGGAAATAGTTTTTTTCTTTAAATTCCCTTCCTTGCCGATTAAGTTAAAGGTCCTTATGTCCTCAGCAGTCCGAAACATATCATCACTTAATTTTGTGATTTTTAGATTGGAAAAAAAACTTTCAGGTTTGTATGCCAATCGATGGGGAATTTTTCTACGAGTTTAACGAGGTACGACACTCCATACTACGGCCACGTTATCCTCGCGTTTTGGCCAAAACAACGTGCGCATCCCTTTCCAGAAATTTGTTGCATACTTTTGGACAGCCGATCATTGCGCTCATTGACCTTGCAACTGCCTACTGAAATTTCTGTTCGCCTGGTACTTGAAAACGCGAAATATCGAAAATTGACCGATAAAATGGGCACGAGCGGGCCCAAATTTACCAAAACGTCGGACTTTTTCCGATTTCTTTCACCAGGCAAACATGAATTCCAGCAGGTGACCACAGAGGTTCTGCAGGCGCACATAATCCGTAGGAAGTAACAGCGTATAATTTTTAGGCAGCCTCATATAACGGATGTTTTTAAAATGGCCATCATTCGCATATTTCCCCTCAGCGATTGACCAATCGAAAAAGAGATCCCTGGAAAACAACCGTTGCATCTAAGTAAAGCGCAGCCTAGAGATGGACAAACGCATGGTTTCTTTGTGCGTGTCACGAATTTGACACGCCACTCACGAAAGCCCCTTATATTTGTTGTTGGATTAATGAAATAAACTTGCACGCGCCCATCCCTTATAAAATGAAAAAATTACTCGTTGGCAACCTAAGCATGGTTTCTGTTCGCCTGGTGTGTAAAATCAAAAATGATCAGTGCATTTACAAAATACATCACCAAAATTTACGTTTCTCGATCAAAAATTTAAATCTTTCTGGATTTCAAACACCAGGCCAACATAATCCGTAGCAAGTTAGTAGCTAGTAATTGTGGGCAGCCTCAAATTGCGGTTGTGTTTTTCAAAATGGCCGCCATAAGCATGTTGCCCCAATAGGAAACTAGCTGGCTGGAAAATAACCGTTGCATCGATGCCAGGCTCTGCCTAGAGATGGGCAACAACGTTGTTTCTTTGTGCGTGTCACGAATTTAACACGATTGGCACGAAAAAAACAATTAATCACTTGTAAATGCTTGGGGAGTGCTGAAAATAAGTAGACGCGACCATCTCTAAAGAAGCGTTAATTTAACTAATCAGCTGATCGTTTTAGATCAAGGGTACAATAAATATTAATGAATAAATAAAATAATAAATAAATTATACAAAAATTTCAGCATTGTTGTTTTTAAAGAAACCTTCTTTATATTTTTAGAAATTTGTGATTCTTTGATTTTTAACACATACGCCTATGCACTGGTGTTATACATGCATACATAGCTGATTTTTTCGAAGTTCGTTTCCTTTCTTGGTACATGTGATCCCGGCCTGACCCAGGGATGATCCTACGGATCCAGCCGCAGTGTGCTCGCGATGAAGGCCAGGGCGCTGCGCTGTGCAGTGGTCACCTCCGCCTGGAGGCGCTGCTCCAGCAGGGGACTGCAGGTGAAGAGCGGTGCCGACTGCTCGGGAACGATGCGGAATGCGACGCGCCGCCAGGTGGCCCGCACCCCATCCAGGCGATCCTCCTCCAGCGCCTCGCGCATCGCCGGCAGATCCGAGCCGCGGGCCAGCGCCAGCAGGTGGGCCATGGCCAGGCAGAGCTGCTGCTGCAGCGCATCCCGGTGGTTGTACTCCTCGTAGCTGTCCAGCGCATTGGAGCGCTCCAGGGCCTCCAGCAGCGAGCGCCACACCAGCGCGAAGTGGGCGCCCAGATCCTGACGCTGCTCCACCTGGCGCAGCACGCCGGCGGCATTGGTGCGCACCTTGAAGTTGGCATGCCGCACAATCAGCTCATTGAGGGCGGGAAACAGTGTGTCGGCCAGTTGGCCGCTGGCAAAGAAGGCCCTGTGCCGCACCAGATTCCCGATGGCATGGCAGGCGTTCCACTTCACCTTGGCATTGCCCGAGCAGCGCACGCAGTCCAGCAACTTGGCCATGGCCAGCTGCATCTGCTCAGCGTTCTGGAGCTGCTGGATCTGCTGGAGCTGCAGGATCTGCAGGAGATTGCCCAGTGCACGCACCGCATTGGCACGCACCTTGTCGTGGTCGCCGCAGCTCTTGGTGGCCGCCTGGATGAGGCGCCCCAGCAGTTCGGCGGATATCCTCTGCGTCTGGCTGGGCATGGCCACGGCCACCAGGGCATCGCTGATGTTGCCCAGCGCCCAGGCGGCCTTGATCCGCACCAGCAGCTGGGCATCGCCAATGAGGCGCAGCGTCAGCTCCGCTGCATTCTCCACGAAGCCCAGGTCGGCCCTCAGCGAGGGATGCAGCACGTAGACGGCCATGGCCCGCAGCGCTGCTCCCCGGACCAGCGTCTCCTCCTGGTCGTCGCTGGCGCAGCCGCTGAGGAAGGCCAGTAGCGCGCTCCTCTGGCCATCTGACAGTCGCTCGAAGCTGAACGCACCCATGTTGGACAGGGCATTGCAGAGGGCGCACTTCAGCGGAGAGCTGGCCGCGTTGTCGTAGGCTCCATAGATCTCGGGCAGCAGGCACAGCCAGAAGGACACCTGGAGCTCCCGTTCCGCCGGCTCCGGCAGCGGCAGCCTGCCCAGCTGGTAGCCGACCGCGTCCAGGCAACGGGCGGCATAGAGCCGCACATCGGCGGCCGGATCACGCAGTCCGGCGGCGATCACCCGGGCCAAACGCGCCTGGTGGCCGCGCAGCAGGCCAATGTGCGTGGCCATGGCCTGGAGCACCTGGTAGCACTCCACGCGCAGGCTGAGCGGAGTGCCCAGGCCCTCCAGATAGCGGAGTACCTGCCTCAGCAGCCACGAGTTGCGCGGAATGGACACTGGTGGCACTATCAGTTTGCTGGGGTTCATTGCTTTCTGTTGCGCCGGTTGCACCTCCTCCTTCTGCTCCTGCTCCTCCTCCTCCAGTTCCACCTCTGCATCCGAGTCGCACAGCTCCTGAAAGTCCTCCTCAACAGTTTTCTCGTCCAACTGAAGGTTCCTCTCACTCGGGGCCAATCCCACCGAGCTGGCTATCTCCGGCGTGAGCTTGGCCGTGCCCACCAGCATCTCCATGACCAGGAGCGCGGTCACGGCCACCGGGGGATGGGCACTCTTGGCCAGCTTCTTGACGTGGCCCACAAACTCGTAGACGAAGCCCATTTCCAGCTGGTCGAAGGGCGTGGCCTGCACCAGAACGGCCAGGCACTTGAGGCACTGCGTCAGCACGGGCGGCGCGTACTCCCGCTCCAGGATGGCGCTCAGGGTGCGGTAGGCGGCCAGCACGGAGCTGGCCAGGCTGACGGCGAAGGGCGTGAAATTGCTGGGTCCGCGCGAGCAGGCCTGGCTCAGGAATCCCTTGGAGCCGTACAGCAGCTGGGCTCCCAGCTGCAGGGCCAGCGCACGGCAGCGCGCATTGGTGTCCCTCTGGCCGAGCAGGAGCAGGTGGCGACTGCCGCCCGAGTCGCCGTCGGGAAAGAGGACGTGCCAGTAGCCGTACAGCGAGCGGCGCGGCAGCTGGTTGGTCAGGGATGCCAGCAGGTGCAGGGCGGATATCCTCACCTTGGCCTGCAGCTGGCGGAGATGCTTGATGCCGGCCGGAGGCTGGTCCGTATCGGAGGGCTGGCCATATTCGCCCGAGTCGCCTGTGAGGCAGCCGTAGTCCTGGTTGCCCACAAGCAGCAGGCGCTCCCGGGAATGGGAGGCCCCCGCCTCCAGGGGCTCACTGATTGCCGCCTGGTTGCGCTGCTTGGCCAGCGAACGCATCTTGCGCACCTTGTTCTTGCGGCCGCCGGAGCCGGACTTCTGGCCGGGCTGCTGCTGCTCCGGCTCCTCGAGCTCCTGGCCATAGGCGGCGGACTGCTGAGCGGGCGGCAACTTGCGTGGCTTGGGAGGCGCTCCCTTTTCCATTTCTCCATACTGCAGGTAGCACTGGACCAGGCCCATCAGCTCGGGCACCCGTTCCGTCGCATAGTCCGGCTGCTGTCGGGCCACCAGCTTTTGGAGCAGCTGCAAGCTGTGCGCCAGCAGCAGGGCCAGCTGCTCAACCTCCTTCTCGCCGGGAACTGTCATCCAGGAGCTTTCGAAATGCATGTGGATCAGCGAGTTGGCCAGGTTGCGGCTGAGGCCGGCCTCCTCCGCAGGTGACTCCTCCGCCGGCAGCTCGGCCAGCACCAGCTCCTGGCAGTGCAGGAGCAGCAGGGCTGCGTCCACCTCCTTAGGATGGGGAAATGCGCTCAACATGGGCCAGAAATCCACCAGTTTCTCCTTGGGCGTCGTTTTCAGCAGAGCCAGCAGCAGTTGGATGGCCGCATTCGGCGGCCTCTGCTGCCCGCCGGCCAGTAGATCGCCCGCCAGGAGGTGTGACCTCACCAGGATGATCCGCCTGGCCAGGACTAGCTCGCTCAGCCACAGCTGCCACAGCCGCAACAGGTCGTGGTGCCCTCTCGCTTGCACCTCCGCGAACAGCTGCTGCAGACGCTCGGCCGCCACGCCCACGGGAACGCCCTGCTGGTGGTGCAGCTCCCGGATGAGCTGCAGATGCTCCTGGCGCTTTGCCTCATCCTGATCCGCACACGATTCCGCCTTCAAAAGGGCGTCGTGCATCTCCATGTCCTGGAATTTATTTCAATTTCGTTCAAAAGCAGTGTGGCCAGATTCCGTGCGGCCAACTGTAAATAAGAGATGGTAAAACATCGAACCTATCGTTTATTTGTGCTGAACATCGATATTTTGAATCATTCTAATAGCCTGATTCCCTTGCCGCATTTGTGTACTTTTTAAATGTGAACAAATGCCAATTCGATAATATGAAATAATAGGAAGGTATTGATTTCCACTTGACCTGCGGACAAATAGCTGGATGACCTATATTTAGCGCGGACAAACACAGATATATATGGGGCAATCCATCAGAAATTAATGGATCGGGGGGTCACCATAGGCGTTGGAACAGGGCTGCACCGCAAAAACATCGGCTAACTATCGCATAAATTAGTCCGTCAAATTTTAACGGCGGACTGACTGGGAAGTTTTTGGAACGGCAAAACGTTATGGACCATCCCTTCAACGGATCGGATTGTGAAAGGTGGATGGATCTCTGTGGAAATGCGGTATAATATCAATGCTATCATGATTGGTCGACCCATCTCTAGATCAAAGACATATTTTATTCGAATTTGTTTATTTCGTAGAGTTTTAGACATAAATCGATGGCAGACTCCCGCCCCGGCGCCTACAACTACAAGACATTACTGTGAGTAGGGTATATGTGTACATAACCGCGTGTAAAGCGGTAGTTGATCATGCCTATGTTCATGTTATTGCTCCGGCAACAGATGCACAAACATTCCGGAGCTGTTTCTTGACAAATATGTGGCGCGCTCGCATTTCGGCCGCTACGGCACCTTGATGAACTTCGTCCTGCGTCCGCGGCGGATGACCTGCACCGTGAGCTACGCCAGCGAGGAGGAGGCGGAGCGGGCGCTCCTCGAGGGCGGCTCCTTCCAGGGCCACCAGTTCGAGATGTCCTATGCGGAGAACGAGACGGCGCCGGCCCACAAAACGGAGGAGTGGGTGGATCCCGATGTGCAGGCCGAGCTAAGTGCCCTGCAGTCGGGCTGGCGTAGTGAGTATGCTCCCGGTGGTGGTGGCAAAACCTCAGCGCCGAAGCCTCCCAATCCCATGCCACTGCCCGCAATGCCTTTTGCTGCTGCTGCGGCAGCGGCGGCTGCTCCATCAAAGAATCCTCCCAGGGAACGAACGCCTGCCCAGCTGAGGGAACTGGAGGCGGTGATGCGGCGACCCGCCCACACCAGCGAGGAGAAGTACCGGGTGCTGGATGCGCGGGACAAGCTGCTGCGGCTGAGCCAAACCCAGCGACAGCCGGAAGGAGCCACCCAGGGTCACTGCCCGGACATGTGTCCCGAAAAGGAGCGCGTGCTGCGCGAGTTCCAGCGGCAGGTGGCCATCTACGAGCTGCAGCCGGGCTCCGACGAGTTCATCTGCAACGAGCGGGCCCTCAAGCAGTACTCGCGCAGCAGTGCCGACCAGGAAACGCCCCTGCCGCACGAGCTGCGCCACGAGGCCGCCCTGCACATGACCATGAGCTACCTGATGCACGAGATCATGGACCTTAGCGAGCGGCAGGAGCCGCATAGCGCTCACCTGGGCGACTGGTTCCACTTCGTGTGGGACCGCACGCGCTCCATCCGCAAGGAGATCACCCAGCAGGAGCTGTGCTCGCTGGGCGCCGTCAAGTTGGTGGAGCAGTGCGCCCGCTTCCACATCCACTGTGCCGCCCGCCTGGTGGCCGCCGATCCCTCCGTCTTCGACAGCAAGATCAATGCCGAGAATCTCACCAAATGCCTGCAGACGCTCAAGTACATGTACCACGATCTGCGGCTGAAGGGCGTCCAGTGCCCCCGGGAGGCGGAGTTTCGCGGCTACATTGTGCTGCTCAACCTGGCCGATGCCAACTTCCTGTGGGACATTGGCCAGCTGCCCGCCGAGCTGCAGAGTTGCCCCGAGCTGCGCCAGGCCATCCAGTTCCATCTGGCCCTGCAGGACACGAACTTTGTGCGCTTCTTCCAGATGCTGGTGGACGAGGAGACCAGCTACCTGAGTGCCTGCATCCTGGTCACCTACTTCACGCGCCTGCGTGTCCTGGCCCTCCATCGTTTGATCCAGGCCTACAGGGCGCCGCGGAAGGACGAGGTGTCCTCGCTGCCCCTCAGCTACATCACCGACATGCTGAGCTTCGTCAGCGAACAGGAGGCGGCCGAGTTCGTCCAGCACTATGGCCTGGAGGTCAACGAGGCGGGCCGCGTCGTGCTCAGCAGGATGCACGCCGTGGAGACGGAGTACAAGCTGCCACGCCAGATTGAGGTGGGTTTCGCTGCTTTTCCATAAATGCTCTACCTCTTGATTAATGTCCATTTGCAGCTGGTGGAGATGAAGCGCCGGCAGAGCGTGGGCGAGGTCGTCTGCGGGGAACCACTGCCCCCGAGAGAAATCTACTTGAATCACCGCCCGCACAATAGCTTCAACGAGCATGGCCTGCTCAAGAGCATCTCCTGGTCGGCCAAGGATCAGCTGCCGGGCATGCAGCAGCAGCAGCAGCAGGAGGAGATGCAGCCACAGCCATCGTCAGCTCCAGATAACTTCTTTAAGGTGCCGATGCAGCCGGGCGGCGGAATGACTGCTCCTGCCACCACTGGCGCACTCCCAGCCATTCCCAGCGGCGGCTTCAGCTTTGTGCTGCCCAAGTCCCGCGCCCAGGAGCTCCAGGAGCAGGCCCTGGCCGAGCAGCAGCGGCGGGCGCAGGAGGAGGCCAAGCACCAGGCCCTGCAGCAGGCCATTGCCCTGGCCAAGCAGCGGGAGGCCGAACTGATGGCCATCCACGAGGCCAAGGTGGCCGAGGCCGAGCGCGTGCGTCAGCAGAAGCTGAGGGAACGGCAGGAGCAGCAGCTGGAGCAGCAGCGTCGCCAGCAGGAGCAGCTGGAGCAGCAGCGTCGCCAGCGGGAGCAGGAGCAGGAGCGGAAGCTGGAGCAGCTGCGTCTTATGGAGCAGCAGCAGCAGCAGAGGGAGTCCCTTAAAAAGGCCAAGACTCTGGAGTGCTATCAGGACGTATTCCGCAACACCCTGGCCGAGATCTGCCGAAGGGAATGGCAGCTGCACCAGCAGGCCTGCCACTCCTACGACTCCCTGGTGGACTCGCTGACGCGCCGCCTGGTCGAGCAGCAGATGCAGCGCTCCCTCTACGAACTGGGCGTCATGCGGGTGTACATGCGGCGCTGGCGCAACTACCGCCGTGTCCAGCAGGAGAAGGACACACTGTTCAACCAGCTGCCGCTCAGCTTCGGAGCCGATGCCCCCGATCGCCTGGTGGACGAGCGCAGCGTGGAGGACTCCCTGCGTCTGATACGGCGCTATCGGCTGGGCGAACCCTGCAACTATGGCCAGCTGCTGACGGGTCTGGAGGAGCAGTGCTGGCTGAAGCTGGACCTCTGGCGCCTGCTCGCCCAGTGTATGCCGCAGTGGCAGCCGGGGGCGCGGCGCTACTACAAGCTGCTGTTGAGTTTGCCCGCCGGCGAGGAGGGTTTCCAGCTGGACTACGACTTGGACAGGGGTCTGCTGCAGCAGCCGCAGTCGCCGGACGCCCAATTGGCGCCAGCGAATGGAGGCTACATTAGGGCCTTCGCCCAAGGCATAGGATTGAGTGTGCTAAAGCTGAAGGAAGGCGACCACTGGCCGCCCAACGCTCAGTTGGCCCAAGCCAATGGCATCATTTGCCTGGCGGGTCTTTCCGACTTGCGGCACATGCCGCAGCGTTTGAGGCAGCTGGTGCGGGCAAGCAGCTGCCCAGATGTGGCCCTAATCGTCCAGCATCCTGCCCATGCCGCTTATGAGGAGCCCCAGCTCCAGCTCGACGATTTGGCTCTGCGCTCCTTCAAGATCTTCAGCTTCCGACAGTCGGCGAATGGCCGCCAGCGGTTGATGTCCCAACTGGAGGCGGCTGTGAAGTTCCTGGCCAGCCGGAGCCACCACCAGGAGCTAAACCAGATGGAGATCCCTGAGTTTTTGCTGGGCAATCTGGGGCCAGAGCTCTTTCGACGCCTCAAACACGCCGCCGACCAGGATACAACCATCCGGCGGGGCAGCCAGCGTTGTCCGCAGTTCTGTGCGGACCTCTACAACGAGGCAGTGCATCGCCTGCAGCTGGTGGCCGGCGAGGATTTGAGCTCTTGCCCAAGGTTTCCCGAGGAGCTGCGCCTCTTTGTGCAGCCACTGTCCGCTGAGGCGGCACTGAGCAGCACCAATCGCCTGGAGCACTTCGAGTCCGGCTGGCAGCTGCCACGACAGCGACAGCGCATTGTCCAGCTTCTGGAGCGCAGCAAACTGCCCAGAATGCCGCCACTGCGGCGGAGATCCCCATCCGCAAGCCTCGTGGCCGAAGACCAGTGCCAGTGGGTGCTGGACTATGTGCAAACGAGCCAGCCGGAGGAGGAGTGCCTGGAGCAGATTGCCCTGCAGGCCATCCAGATACTGCAGTCCAACGAGGCGGACTGCTACCTCAGCTTTGTGGAGTATCTGGCTGGCGAGCGAGTGCGTGGCGTACTGCGCCAGGAGCAGGATGCATTGCCCAGATGCATTGTCTACCGCACGAAGACGATGCGGAGTCGTTTCCTCAGTGCCTGGTACTACGAGTTTCAGGAGCCGCAACTATGTGAAGCGCAGCAGGAAGAGGAGGAGGAGCAGGAAGAGGAGCAGGAGGAGGAGGAGGAGGATTTCCAGGAGCAGGAAAAGGAGCCGGAGGAGCAGCTAGACTTCGATGAGATCATGAGCAAGGCGGCGGCTGTCCTGAGCAGGAGTCGCCAGCGTCTGGAGGAGCGTCCCACGCTGCGGGACCTCAATGGATCGCCCAAAAGCCCCAAGAGCAGAACCAAATCATTGGGTCGAACCCTTGACGCGGAAAACAAACCCAAGCGCAAGCGCCACAACCTAAAATAGTGCAGTTTTAGTTACCAACTAAGTCTATGTTTGTTGTAAATCAATTTAAAAATAAGAAAATCCAAGAAAAACTGTTAGTCTTGTATTTATAATTGCCAATTGTAAAAGATGTCCAAGCTAAATTGTAAAGCACTAAGGGTATTTTGCTTTTTTTTCTAATTTTTCAATATCTAAGGCTTTAAAATAATAATAATTATATTAATAGTTGGCAATTGTAAGAGAAGACCAAGCTTAATTGTAAAGCACTTAGGTTAGTATTTTATTTTTATTTATTTTTTTTTTTATTCTAATGTGTCAATATCAGAAAATAGTAATCTTAAACTTTAAATTAATAATAATTATATTAATAATTGGCAATTGTAAAAGAAGAACAAGCAAGTTGTAAAGGTTGAATTTTATTTTTCTAATCTGACAATATCAGAAAATTGTAATCTTAGGAATCAAATCTTGACACCAAGATATCAGTTAGGGACACCGACAAAAAGAGCGAGACTGTCGAAATATTTAAGCAATAATTGTGGTAGCTGCTAAGTTCTAAAGTATTTTTGTAATAAACTGTATGCCAAGATTGATCAGGTTATGTCGGGGTTGTAGAGCTATAGAGTGGGCCTTGCCCTCAAAATGACAGGTGTCAAAGTCTCCAAATCTTGACATCCCCAGTCAACTAAACAGCTCCGAGGCGAAAGCATCCATTTATCCAAAACATTTGTGTTTCCGTATTTTTCTTTTATTTTGTTTTAAGGTTTTTCACCATTCAAAACGAACACAAAAGGATTTGCCTGGAACATGAAAAGTATAGTGGCTCAGACGGAAAACCAGCTGCGGCCTCTGAAAAGTGAGTTGAGTGCATTTGGATCGCAGTCTGCAATCTGCAATCTGCAATCTGATCAGTTTACTGGCCCACATGCACTTCGAGAAATGGGCACGAATTTATCCCTTAACAATTCGTTGCCCATTGTGTTCTGTGTCCAATGTTGTTGGAAAATATATGATATGAGGATGTTTAAGAAAATTTAATTTTTATTTTTTATTATTGTTTTGTAATTTCAATTGTAAGAATACAGTAAAATACAATACAATAACATTTCAGAATAAGTATAGTTTGTTAATAAATGGAAATGTATAGACTATTATTTTTGTTTGAATAAATAAATTTTTATTTTTTTAAATACAATTTAAAGGTAATAATAAAATTCAATCTTAAATCTTTTAATTTTAAAATGTTATCAAACATCCATGTCAGCTTTTTTGTAATAAAATAAATGAACTTGTGTTTTTTATATATAATTTGAATGTTATAATTACTTTTTTAAATGAAAAGGTGTCCAAAATGATCAATTAATTCATTTAAAATATATTTTATGAAATGATAACGTTTTTTATTTTGTTGTCTTCAATTAAATATTCAGCATATTTTATTGGCTTTATCTAAAATAATTCAGAGTTAAGAGTTAATAAATGTCAGCTATTTTGGCATAAAACAAGGGTTCCCTTATAATTTGTCCTTTAGTTTTAAAGCTATTTGGAATGTAATTTTACAAATTTTTTTTTTCTTTTGCATTTAGTTACTAATAAAATTGAACAAAGTTATTATATAGCTGCCATAGAGATGATTCATAAAACTAAGCATAAATTTGTTGTTATACATATTAGCACCAAAATCGAAATGTACTTTTTTTTGTTTTTAAATAAATAACAATTTGAAATTTTTTCCAGTGTCCCGCATAATTTCGGTGATGAAGGGCTCCCGTCGCGAGTCGCAATCCTTAGGGACGAGCAGCTCGGTTTGCAAGGTGGTGGCGCAACTGAAGGGTGGTGGTGGTGGTCAGGTGGAGTTCCGTTGGATGTCGCACCTGGCGTCGCTGTTGAGTCGCCCGGCTACTAATACACTGGTAAAAAAAGTAGTATATTTAAGTATTTCGTACTCATTTTGAATATTTTTCGATTTTATTTTCAACCATTGCGGTTATAAGTTAATTAAAATATGGAATTATCAATTCTTTTTTAAATTTTTCATTTGACTATCCAGGGAATTGATTTTAATATCTGAAAATTTGATTTAATTTAAATAATTTAATTTAATTTAAAGGCATATTAAACTTAAAGATAATGTATTGAATGCATTTTTCACATAGCTCCTTTCAATTAAAAAATTTTGAATTTTTGCCATATTGGCAATACTATTAAATCATGCCAGTCAACAAGTTTTTTTGTTTATTTAATTAAAATGTTTTGTGTTATTATTCTTATCCTAGCGCTCCAAGATAGGCCTTTAAATTGAATGCACTAGTCCCAATTAAATATTTATATATGTATATATATATTTTTTTTTTAAATTCAATTCAATGTATTTTTTTCTCAGTGTACGAATGCCCGGCTGCTGAGGCGACCGTATGTGAGCTTCAACACCCGCCTCACCCGCAAACTGTCCGGCGCAATGGAGCGCCGTGGATCGAGCTTCAACTTCCTGGGCCGCTGGCAGTCACGAAGGGGCCTGCATTCGTCCAGCTGCATCCTGCCGGTGAAGACGCGCCACGCCCCAAAGACGGTGCAGGGGCGGATGTGGCCCATCTGGCGGCAGTCCTCGGTGCGGCCGCTCCTGCTGCCGTCGTCCAATCTGTGGACGGGTGTGCTCAGCCAGCGGTTCTATGTGCCGCGCCTGCGACCCGCCGACGAGGAAGAGGAGGAGGGGGTGGAGCGACGGGCAGTGCCCCGGCTGAGGGTCACCAGGGAGGAGAGCGAGGAGGAGGAGGCGCAGCTCCAGCGGCGCCGGGATGGCAGTCGTCTGCGCCATCCGCCAGCCGGTAATCCTCTAGTGGAGCGGCCGGAGGAGGGACACTCCAGGGGGCAGGAGCAGGGGGATCGCCAGCCCTACGTTCCCAGCGTACTGATGACCCCGCAACTGGCCACCAAGTGGCTAACCACACAGGGCAAGGAGCACCAGGAGCACCGGGAGCACCGGGAGCACCGAGAGCCCACCGCCCGGATGACCAGCCAAGTCTGGGTGAGCGGCAGCCAGCGAAGGTACCGGCGCAGTGAAAGAACCCACAGACCGATCACCTCCGAACTGGAGGGCTGGCGGAGATCGGCCCACCACCAGCCAGTGCCCATCTTCCAGGGGCAGCCCGCCGAGCAGGAGCACCTGCGTCACGCCAGCTGCAGGACCAGCGCCAGGAGCATGCGGGACATTCAGCAGAGCAGCCAGGTGAGAGTTACCCGTTAAATGAGTCTAAAGTAAAAATATTACACTGATAAAAAATTAAATTATAAAAATAAGTATGTTATGTTAAGATTCAACATTTTATATTTAATAGTTAAATTTAATATAAAACCAAAATATTAAATACAATGCATACTAAATTGCATGATTTAATATTAAAATATTTAAATTAATGTAAAACATATATTTTATATTTAATATGTAAATTAAGTATAAAATCAAAATAGTATATGCAATGCATATTAAATTGCATGAATTAATATTAAAAAATTTAATATCTCACAATTTAATTTAAATAGGAATCATTTTTAACTTAAAAAAGAGGTATTTAAATCAAATACGAACTATTTTTTATATTATATTATATTTTCCACATTAATTTAAATATTTTAATATTAAATCATGCAATTTAATATGCATTGCATTTCTTACCATTCCATTTTTTTATCAGTGTAAACAATCCTTTTGGTTTCCAAGCGGTTTTGGCTTAGCTGTCAATTTTCATCCCCTACTTTTGCAGATGGTCTGGGAGACCAAGAAGCAGACACCGTGGAGCAGGGCCAGGGAGGAGAGCGTGGACAAACCCGGTCACGGAACCGGACCCGGACCGATGATGGTCCAGGAGTCGCGGAGCAAGCAGCACCGGCTGATCACCAAGGAGCTGGTCTACCGAGCCAAGGACCTTCCGCCAAAAGAAAGAGGAGACGGAGGAGGAAGAGGAGGAAAAGCAATGAGCAAATCCTCGCCAGAGCGGGCACTGATCAGGCAGCACCTGGCCGACCTGCTGCCGGTGGCCCAGAAGCCGTCCTCCTTCCGGATTGGCTACCAGCGGCATGCGCCCACGCGGCAGCTTCTGGAGCAGGGCAAGTGCCATGTGTCAGTGCGCCGGGTGCAGTTCCTCCATCTGCAGCCAGTGAGGTCACCGAACTCCATCATCCAGTCAGCGGATCTGGAGGCCAGGGAGACACTGCATCGCAAGGATGGCGCCAAACGGCCTTGTGCCGTGCACACGGTGGTCAAGCCATCCCTGCTCACCCTAATCCGTGGCCATGGCCGGCGGTTGGTGGCCAAGCGGTCCTCCTCCGTGGGCGTGCGACCCCAGAGGGATGTCTCAGTGCGGCGTCTGGTGCGGAATGCCTCCTCCCTGGAGGTCCTCTGCCAAGCCAGTGCCAAACTCAAGCCCAAATCCCTGGTCAATGAGTACCACAAAGATCACCCGATCAAGAAACTGCCGCAGGTCAGCAGCAAATTGGCTCATCCGTTCAAGGATTTCGAGGAGGCAAGGATCAAGGAGAAGGAGGTGGCCAGCAGCTGGAAGCAGGCCCATGTGGCCAGGAACTACAAGTACGAGGCATCCACTTCCTATAGAAACAGCAACAGCAAATATCCCGGCAAGAAGAGCACCACCAAGGACATGACCGAGGCGTACTTCCTGGCCAAAAGGAGCTCCTCCGCGGCGCCTAGAGAGGAACAGAGAGTCACCTCGTCCTCCAAGAGGGTCAAGCCACCACGACAACCGGCCATCAGTCCAAAGGTTCAGGTGCCAGAGGTCCACAGCAAGCAGAGATCACAAGAAAAGCTCTGGAGTTAAGCCATATATCCATATACCCACCCATCTGATCTATAATACTATCATATATCATCCGTTTTTAACAACCAAACACGGACAGGCAAATCCACATTCGAAGCGGAATTCCAAATTGAGCAGTGAACACAACAATTTACACACAATTAATATACACTCGCACACCTGGTGGATCGATGCTCCTCACCCGGAGAATTCTTCGCAATCGGAAAACCATACTCACCCACTTAACAACACTACACTGTCAGACTTGAAAAAAATTCCAAAACTTGCCTTGCTAAATTATCGCTTTCATCCATTTGGCACACTTGCTCTAGGTAGTTTTTTGACTTTTCAAGTAGCTCTTTTTTTCCTAGTTTTTATTTTTTGGGATAACGAGAGACAACAGTTTCGGTACCGCTTATATTAAGAAATTAGTGTTACAAGACGTCAAATTGGTAGTTGTCGCATACGTGTTGTCCAGCACCAAAACAAAAAATGTCAAACGCATAACTCATATGGTCAATAGGCTTACAAATTATGGACAGTCGTGACACTATGTAAAAATTCTTGAATAATTACGGAAACAATATGGATGTCTCGAATTTAGCGAAGTCTTTTTTTTAATACTTGGTTGGGATTTGGTTATTAAATTTATGAGAACTGGTAAGTTGGTAAGTTTAAAGGTTGTGGGTTTTTCCATAAACAAATTTATTTTAAGGTATTCATAATTTTTGTTTTTAAAAACAAAATGATGTAAGACTAAAAACTATTTCATAAAACCCAAAGTCCACCAAACATCTGACAAGGAAGAGATAGACCAGAGTATGACTAATTTAACGATTAAACGTAAATATCTATATAGTAATCGGTAAACATGTTTATCATATTGCTTCTGTTTACCAATGAATTTCAACAAAACAGAAACAACTTGCAATCAAAACAAAAGCAAAGAGGACACGTGACAAAGAAATCGCAAAAATAAGGGCGAAAATATATAGTATATAGAGGGGAAGTGAATCGATTTGGGTATTTTAAGAACTGCACTGTCACTCTGTCGCCAAAATTATTTTTAGCAACCGCAAAAACAAGCCACATTTCACAATAGAATGCAAAATTTACATTTTCCAGAAGGGTGAAAAGGGAAAAAAATTGCAAGAGGTTTTAGAATTTTTTTAAAATTAAAATCGCTTCAGAAAAAACTATAAAAATTAAACTTTTTGATTTGATTTGAAAATATAAAATTTACAATGGAATAGAAAAGTAGATTTTAAGGTACTTTGCTTTAATAAATTATATTTAAATAATTTGTAAAAATAAATACTCAAAATATAGAAATGAAAAAAAAAACATTTTGTTTTAGCCCACATAGGTATTAATTTAGATTTTCTATAATGAAATTAAAATTCCATCACACCTTAAATTTGTGTTCCATTAACTGTAACAATAAAAACACTATTAAGCTTTGTTTTGTTTTGGCCCACATTGACAGCCCGTGGGTTTTAGCTTTCTTATGTTTTTATTTTTTTGGATTTGGGTTTTTTTTGGGAAGAGGGATCAACGATCAACTGGGCTGCCAATGGGTTTTTCTATTTAACACATTTCAATTTGCACTACAATTAAACAATGCTCTCTTCTAGGATGCTTGCAATTAAACGATTAAGAACTAAACGAGGGGATTGGTCATCCGGGGTGGTGGCCAGTTGCTCCTCCTCCTCTACTGGAGATGGTGGCTCTGCTTGCACTGCCGCAGCGCCTCGTTGAATCCCTCGCAGAGGGTCAGATCCGCCTGTCCCTGGGCGCACTGGATGAACTGTTTGAGCTCCCAGGCGCAGGCTCCCTGCGGCTCATTTGGTTGCTGGGCGAAGTAGGGCTGCTGTTGCTGCTGGGGGGCAGGAGCGGCGGCCGTCGGAGCAGCTGCCTCCTTGTCGCCGGATCCGCTGAACAGCGAGGTCAGGCCATGACCCACAGTGTGTCCGATGGCCGATCCCACGGCCACGCCGCCAGCGGTGGCGGCCATCTGCTGGAACATCGACGGCTGCTGGGGCGCCGGCATGCCCACGGCGCTGGGCGGAGCGCTCATGGGCGCCGGCGGTGGGGGCGGGGCGGCAGCACGGGCCGGCACAGGGGCGGCGGCGGCTGGGGCGGGAGCGGGGGCTCGTGCCTGCACAGGTGCGGAGCTGTAGGAAAACAATCAGTTGTTATTCTGGACTTTGCCCTCTGCCATTGTTGATTATTTGGTGACGAAATAGAGAGAGGTTTGTGTGAAAATAAAATAAAAAAGCTAGTTTCTGTTTATTCAAAATATTGATGTCCTTTTTTTGTATTTCCATTATCAAGTATATGAAATTATTAAGAATAAAAGTCTTTGGTTGAAAGCAAACTACAATGGCTTGTTTCTAGTTTTTCAAAATATTGGGAAAATATTTGTTGGTCTGGTGGTCTTTTTTCATTGCCTATATAAAGAATATTATTATCAGAAAATGAACAACAACGGCTAGTTTCCTGTTACAAAATATTAAAAAATATTTATATTTTACTAGGTTTTTTTTCATTTATTTTCCTAAACAAAGCATGTTAAATTATAGAGAAAAATAAGGTAGTTAAAAATTAGATTGTAACAAGAAAAACAAAGTGCTATATGCGTATTAAAAGCTGGTTTTAAAAGTTTTAGCAAATTGAAAGAAATAGCTTATCGTGCGAAAATTACATATGTTAAATACAATTTAAAACCCTTTAAAACTTATCCAGTTTAATCATAAAAAGACCGGTGTATTTCAATACTTCCGGCACTCGAAAAAAGCCACACTGAGCGGGAAACCCGCTGAACGGACAACACAACTGAAACATCCCATGTTATTGGATCTGTGCTCTTATTTTTTTAAGGTTACGTAACCTTAACCCATTTCAAGGCCCGGAAAAAGCGGCGGCTGTCCATAAGATAAAGCCAGATCATCCGATTGATTTGGCCGTGATTACGAAATGAGTTTCCTGCCGGCGCATTTCCCGATATTCCTTATACTTTTCCTTATTTTCCTCGATTTCCTTACCGACGAGTGGAGGGAGGGGGACTGGCTGAACGTCCACGGCGAACCATTTTGTTTGTTTTAATTTGTGTCTTTTATCGACTAGATTTCACGCAAAAATTTCACAGTTGTTGCTGTTTTGGCTTTCGACTCGAAAATGACGAGCGCTCGAAACTTATATCTGAAATCCCAATTGGACGAGAAACTTCGGCCTGCTCGTGAGTGTGACCGGTGAAAATACTGAAAAATATACCAAAATAAACCAAAAACTATCGGCTGTTGGTAATGTCAGCCCTGGTTGACACTGGTTGTGAATGGGCGTATTCAGCTGAACAAAACGATCACTGATCACTGATGGATCAGTAATCAGTGATTCAGTTTGTGCTGCTGAAAGCCTATGATACATTACGCATTAATTAATTAATTTGTTTGTTCTTTACTTTTGTATTGCTTACATTCTGATTTTTCTGTTTATTCTTATCGATATTTACACCCTCAAATTAGGCTATTTAATAAAAAAAATACATATAATTTTCATAATTTGTAATTACAATCCATTCAACTATTTATTGTTGAAGAACTCGTATAAACTAGTATTTGACAACTAGTAATTTTTTCAATAACAAAATAATAAATTTTTTTTTAATAATATGTTTATGATATGATTCTAACTAATTAAGATAAACAAAAATAATAAGAAAGACTTGGTTATATATTGTTTGTTTATGTTTTACAACTTATATTTCGTTTGAAAATTAATCAAAATTAACGAATAGCAATAATTTAAAAATAAAGAACTGTTACCAAGGAAAAATAATGTTAATTTCAACTATGCAGTGCATTGCAAATATTATTTCCAAAATGAATGGCTGATTGCGGCAGATTAATGGCCATTAATGTTTCTTGAAAATTTTCCAGGCGAAATTAACAAAATAAAAATAATTCCAAGATTAAAAAAAAAAAAATTAACACCAATGATGACCATAACTAAACGGTGAATTACTATTCTAATGTGAATGGCTCATGGCAAATATCGCTCAGCGTGGTGAGTGACAAAGCACCCAAGTTCTTCATATCGATAGAAAGTCCAACCATCGCGAATAATAAAAGTGGTGATATGTTAGTTTTATACGAAGCATTTAAATAAATTATTATATAATAGAAAATTACGTATGCCAGTAGAACTTTGTGTATTTACTAGAGTGAGTAAATTAAGAAATAAACCCCAACTATCGGCAAGAGACCCATATCGATAGCTGGTTCATTCTGCAGCCCTGGCAGCCGAAATGCAACCGTGCGCGTGTCGGCGGAAATGTGACTTTCTGGCGTTGCCGCACACTGCCGTAACATGTTCTTTTTCAGGCGTTTGCCTTTGCGCTGACATCGTATCTCGATTCCTTCTGTGACAAAGTAAGGGAAATTCAACGTTTTAAAAGTGTATTACCGCCAGAGTTTGGCCAAAAGATGGCTAAATGCCCGGGCCAATTGTGGATACTGAGGGTTTTGTGAATTTATTGCGGCAAAGTGCAGAAAAATACAATTCCCTTTCAAATGAGGTTAAAAACGGGCGGCTTTTTGTTTGTGTGTGTGTGCGTGAGTGCGGCTGTGTGAGTGCATCACACGTGTTGGTTTCACCTTTTTTTTTAATGTTTTTTTTTTATTTGCCGCTTAAACTTATATATATATATATTGGATCAAATCGTAAACCCAGGTTTACTATACCTCTTCAGGATATCACCTAAAAGATATAAACCCTTATTTAGTCGCAAGTCAACAACAACAACGCGAGTGTGTATGTGTGTGGTGGAAGTGCGTGTGCAAATAGCGCTCTTTACTGTAAAAAAAAAACGTGTTAACAACGCAGAAATATTCCCTTGATTATTAATTTAACGCTAGATATTTTATTGCAACCTTTTTTTTTGTAAAACATGTGTTATTAAAACTACGGTTTCTATGAAGAATCATTATTTGTGATTTTTTTTTTTAATACGCACGTTCTGTTAAATATGATCTTTCAGTTAAAAAAAACCTTAAAAATAAATTGTATTGTTAAAAGTTGCATTATTATTCTTTTAAAAAAGTGGTTGTAAAATAAATATGAATATAGGTTCAATAAACAAATTCTTTTTTTTAAGTTATAAATAAAAATAATCACACAAAATATTATTGTTACATTTTCACGACAACGGGCCTATTTAAATAAAAAGCTTAATATCTGTACATTATCAATTAAAAAACACGTTTCTGTCACACTTCCTAGATGTGCCAAGCCAATATCATCAATATCGTTTGTTACTTACGATTTATATTAAAAATAAGGAAAACTACAAAACCCACAATTACAAACGAATTCAATAAGTATTATTAGCTTGAGAAAGGTGTTAGAAATGTTTCAAAAAACAGGCTAAAAACAGAATAAATTAAAAAAAATAAAAATAATATGGAAATTATGGCAAAACTCAAATATTCCCAGGCAGTCTATTGATTTTTTTTTTGGCACGTGACTTACAGTTTTGTCCATTTTGATACTTTTGCAGCATGGCCGAGGTTGCTGAAAACGTGGTGGAGACCTTCGAGGAGCCAGCGGCACCTATGGAAGCCGAGGTCGCCGAGACGATCCTGGAGACGAATGTGGTGGCCACCACCGAGCTGCCGGAGATCAAGCTGTTCGGCCGCTGGTCCTGCGACGATGTGACCGTCAACGACATCTCGCTGCAGGATTACATCTCGGTGAAGGAGAAGTTCGCCCGCTACCTTCCCCACTCCGCCGGACGCTATGCCGCCAAGCGATTCCGCAAGGCCCAGTGCCCCATTGTGGAGCGATTGACCTGCTCCCTGATGATGAAGGGTCGCAACAACGGCAAGAAGCTGATGGCCTGCCGCATCGTCAAGCACTCGTTCGAGATCATCCATCTGCTAACCGGCGAGAATCCGCTGCAGGTACATACTCACCTCGATTGTAACCCTATATCACTATATCACTCTTTAAAAGCGTCCCATGCTAAACTGTGACCAGAGATCATCGCCACTCGGTCATGGGTAGAATGGGCACGCAGAGTAACCGCAAGGTTTTAATATCCTAGTGCCTGAAGATAACCAAGCCTCTTCTCGTTCTCCTGGAACTTAAAACTACAAGATATAACAATGACAATACCTATTTAATTTGACATCATTACATCACCTGTATAACCATAACCGTGGTAATATAAAGTAATAGTGTTTAGTCCTCCTCAATGCTGCCTAGTTAGTAATACATACTTTTCAAAGCATTAACTCTTAAATGGACTTAAAGCGAATCAGAGTTTTAATTGTCCTAGTGCCTGAAGATAAAAACCACTTCTTGTTCTTCTGGTACCTAAAACTACACTAGAAATTTGAACTGAAACTAAAGGTAGTCCCCCTTAATGCCAGTTGATGGTGAATTTCAGCCAAACTGAGCATAAACTCATAAGGGACTCATAGAAAACGGTGTTAACTATCCTTGTGCTTGAAGAATAAACCACTTCCCGCTCTCCTGGAACTTAAGACAACATCTAAAAACATTTGATTACCATGAAACTATAGGCTTCTTAGGGATGTTTAGGCATGAGTCGACCTCAATGCTAGTTGAAGGAAAGTTCATCCCAGCTTAAGCATATTTTATAACAGACTCAGAGGAAACAGTGTTAATTATCCTAGTGCTAGAAGAATACACCACTTCCCGCTCTCCTGGAATTTAAGACTACATATAAAAACATTTGATTATCATGATTAGTCATGAGTCGACCTCAATGCTAGTTGAAGGAAATTCCATCCCAACTAAAGCATATTTTATAACCGACTCAGAGGAAACAGTGTTAATTATCCTAGTGCTTGAAGAGTAAACCACTTCCCGCTCTCCTGGAACTTAAGACAACATTATAAGTTGAGTATTGAGACATCAGTATCCGTCCAAAACTAAAACTGCAGCGTTGAGCTTCACAACGTTGTGGTATTCAATTGGACCACAGGAAACCCCATGATTAGCTATTCCTCTTAAGGGCATTGGCTAAAATGTGCAACCTTAATAAAGCATAAATCAACAAAAACCTATTCTCAGTCAAATTATAATTATTATCCGTCCAAAACTAAAACTGCAGCGTTGAGCTTCACAACGTTGTGGTATTCAATTGGACCACAGGAAACCCCATGATTAGCTATTCCTCTTAAGGGCATTGGCTAAAATGTGCAACCTTAATAAAGCATAAATCAACAAAACCCTACTTATTATAACCCATTTATAGTCCAACTCTATGCTAGACGGTTTAAAAATACCCTGTCGTACTGAGCATCTCCAAAAACGGACTAATATTAATTGAAATTGTTTTAACTATCCTTGTGCCTGAAGATTAAAACCACTTCCTGCTCTCCTGGAAATTAAAACAACATTTACCACTTATGTATTATGTTTTTTTGAGTGAGTGCTCTACAGTGGCAGCTTGTCTAATTGAAATTTCTCGTTGTGTTTTCTTGCAGATCCTGGTCAGTGCGATCATCAACTCGGGACCCCGTGAGGACTCCACCCGTATTGGACGTGCCGGTACCGTCCGTCGTCAGGCTGTGGATGTGTCGCCCCTGCGTCGCGTCAACCAGGTGCGTTTCTTCAGAGGATCTCGGGGCCAGATGTGTAGATGGTGGCCGGTTGCAATGGCTTGTGGTTCGATTGCTGACTGCTTGCTTATAACACTTGGCTAGATCGAAATTCTATCTAATATCCGTAGCGTCATAATGTGTAATTTAGCCGACATTTGGCGTATGAAACGAAGAGACATTTCCAATTTAATACTTTGAGGGTTTCAAAAACGATATTACGGGGTGAAGTTAATATTTTTAAAAGCTTTTGAAACCCTACAAAATTTAATATAATTTTTTGCTGTTATATATGTACTCATTGATTACAATTATTTCTAGGCTATCTGGCTGCTGTGCACTGGAGCTCGTGAGGCTGCCTTCAGGAACATCAAGACCATCGCCGAATGCTTGGCCGATGAGCTGATCAACGCCGCCAAGGTGAGGAAATTGGGAATTTGGAAGGAGGAAGTTGGGAACCGGGAGGGCTTCTCTAATGCCTGGCATTCTGGTGTAACAGTTGGTCATTCAAATTAGTCCAATCTAATTCTACATAATGGTTTATTTATGCAGTCTCGCGTTTGGACCAGATCAATCTCCAAATCTCTTATTATCCTTGTGCTAGTGGCCATTCAACTGTCCTATGCACACGAGAAACGTAAAAGAACATAGGCAATTTAGAAATCTATAGTAGTTATCGGTTAAGAATAGGTCCAATCTAATTCTACATAATGGTTTAACTATGTGGTCTCGCTTCTGGACCAAATTAAATTCCATCCTTTATTATCCTTGTGCTTGTGATAATTTCCAAGCAATGTACATGAGAAACGTAAAAGAATATGACAAATATACAAATCTATAGTAGTTATCGGTTAAACATAGGTCCAATCTAATTCTACATAATGGTTTAATTATGTAGTCTCGCTTCTGGACTATATTAAATCCCATCCTTTATTATCCTTGTGCTTGTGATATCATTCCAGTTCAATGCACACGAGAAACGTAAAAAAACATAGGCAATTTTTAATTATATAGCAGTTATCAGTCTTTAACAGGTCCAATCTAATTCTACATAATGGTTTATTTATGTGGTCTCGCTTCTGGACCAAATTAAATCCCATCCTTTATTATCCTTGTGCTTGTGACATCATTCCAGTTCAATGCACACGAGAAACGTAGAGGAATAATAGCATTAAATAGATCAAAAACTTGAAATATAAGGGAAATTTACCACAATTACTAATTGTCTGTCTTAATTCGATTCCAGGGTTCTTCCAACTCCTACGCCATCAAGAAGAAGGATGAGTTGGAGCGTGTCGCCAAGTCCAACCGTTAAGGAGACATCCATCACCAGCAAAAACAAACTTCTGTGTCTGTTTTTTTTTATACAAATAACGTGTGTACACTGCGAAATGATACACTAAATTTAAAATAAACAACAAGATGAAAAATCCAATGTAAACCAATCTTTTTTTTTTAATAATTTTTAGTTTTGAATAAACTGGCTTGTCAAGAAAAGGTTGAGTTTGTTTTAACATTTATAGATGTGTTTTTCGGAAAGATGTTTCTATTTTATTTAATTTGATTTTGTTTTGTGACTATATATAACTTCAGGATGTCAGTAAAGAGTTAAGTTGTTCAGTTTGGTTATTTTCAATTACAGCAAATTTGATATTCGTTTAACATATAAAAACACAAATAATTGGAAAATTCTTTATTTTATTTTACCTAATCATAAACTTATTTTTAAAAGTTGACAACCCTTTGTTGTTGAACTCTTGACAACACTATAGAGCTGGGAAGCTATCGATAGTGGCCCTTTTCGATATTTTCGTATTTAAGTTCAACCAAGTCTCGTGTTTTTTGCTATCGATGGTGGCTCAGAAAAGTAAAAATTCGATACCTCGTTTGTGTCTTCGATAGTTTCCCAGATCTACAACACTATACAAATAAAATCTATATCAAATACAATTAAACTTTGGCATAAAAAGGCATTAAAATGGTTTAAATGGTGTGTATGTTTTAGATAATTGTTTTTTTTTCTTAATATTTGCCTTGGACAACGACAATCGAAGGTCTGGCAGCACCGATTGTAGCCGCTTAGTGTGACCGTATTCAACACATGTGCCATTTGGTATTTCACAAGCAAGGAGGCCACTTTCACACTGAAGCGCAAACCTTTCAAAAACGTTTTCATTACATTTAGAGTTACGTAGTGTTATTTTTCCTAAAAATTTTGTATTGTTCGGATCAGAGGCGTTGCAGAAGTTGAGAGTTTAAATCGCTGCCATAACCGGGTGCAGAGTAAGATGTTCACAGTGGATGCAGTGCCCAACGAGACTCGATTGAATAGCCAGTAAGTACAAGCGGTAATCCTGGCCAGAAACGAGGATTCCCTTATGCTGCACATATATACATATGTATATGCTATGCGTGAGAATCACACTATTATGCACACTATCACAATGCAGATTCCACGAGCAGCAGCTGGTGGAGCAGTTCTGCCGGCAGACGCAGCTGCTCAAGCTGGTCGAGGGCTCCTCCGGCCGCTTTGTGGCCAACTACAGAAGCACCCGGCGGCCGGAGGACCTGCTGGCCCCCATCCAGTTGCGCCTCGACTTCGACTACGGCCAGCTGCTAGAGCACGCGCCGCAACTGCTGCAACTGATCATCGAGGAGCCCCTCCAGTTCGAACAGGCCGTGCGGTACTCCGTCTACGGCCTGGTCCGGTCGCATCTCAAAACCGCCGGCCTCGCACCCATTGACATCAACCAGCTGCACGCCCAGTGGCGCCTGGTGGGACTGCCCTTCACGCCCGACCTCCAGTTCGAGTCGCCGGACCAGCAGCTGCGCCTGGGACTGGCCCAGGTGCAGGGCATCCTGGCCGCCTTCACGCCGCAGGAGACGCTGGTGTAAGCCAGGCATCCATGTCCTGGCAGAGAATCACTTAGGAAGTCCTAAAGTCCGTCCGCTTCCGGTTCCCTTGGGAAACTACGCCTTCTAGATCTTTGTGTTCTGTATATAATATCTTGGTAGTTGTTTAGTTAGTTCAGTTTGCTTATATCCTTATATATCCTTCATTTCAAGTCTTAATTCTTAATTGTTCCCTTTAGAAAACATTTTCTAGATCTTTCTGTGTTTTATGGTTAGTTCATATCTGTTATAATCTTAGTATTCCAAATCAACACTAAGGACTTTTGATTCAATTGGGAACCTTGTGTGGTAATTCATCTATTTAGTTATATCCCTATTTAATTCCATATTTAATTGCGAATTCCGATTCCTTGGCATGCCTTAAACTTAAATCATTCTGTTTATTTATTATTTTGTTATTATTATTTTATAATTTTATAGTAATGCAGTTTGCTGGCTTTACATACGTTTACAAAATTCAAAATGGGTTGCATATATTATATTATTATTTCTTTTTGTTATTATTTACTTATTTTATTATTATTCTTTAATTGTTATTATTTACTTGTTATTATTTACTTGTTATTATTTACTTGTTATTATTTACTTGTTATTATTTACTTGTTATTTTATTATTATTATTATTTCCTTCGGGAATGCATAAATCAGATCAAAATTAAGTATAAAGCCGCTCTGCTAGGGCATTTCAAGCTTCGGTAACCGAAGAGGTAAACTGCATTTGCTGATCTCTACATGTTCCATTGTAGCCTGCAATCGATTTGGTACTGCGGCAGCGGCTGTATGCGCAATGCCATACAGACCAGCTCAACGGATGGTATGTCCAAGTCACCTTAGTCCTCATCTACGGTTCCCACAGAAACCCCAAGCATGCAAAACCAAATATCCCAGCATTTGTTTAAACCCCTTGTAAACCATTCCATACATTCCCTTTTCATATATCCCACAGAACTCTGTGCCATCTCTGTTTGGAACACGATTTTAATCCTTCTATTTTGTGCATGCATTTCAGCTCCCTTGTGTACCGGCTGCTCGCGGCCCATGAGTGAATACCAAAAGTTACGCGTCACCGAAACCTATCGCCTCCTGGCCATCCTGCCCAGCTCAGCAGTTCAGACACCACGCACCATCGGTTGCCTACATCGCCCCAAACTAGTTCGCCTTAGAGGTAATTAACAATAAGTCTTTAAAGCTTTATACATTATCCTGGCTAAGGAGAGTGCACTGATAAAAAAAGGAATTTTATAGATTATTTTTAAATTAATTATAAACATGTTCAATACAAGGCATATTCCATTGCATGTTTTAATACTAAAATATTCATTTTGATGTTAGATATAAAAATGTGCCTATGGTTTTAAAAAGTTAGTTTTTTTTCACATAGTGATAAACACAAAATGGTAGAATGATTTTTTTTCTTAAACAAATTAATCACACTTCATTTATTTATCTTAATGTCTTTTTTTTTAAAGAAAATTTAGGGTATATATAAAATGTATAGATAAATAAATAAGTTGTTATATTTTAAAATAAAAAGATTCTCATTTGACATTATGTGACATGTTTAAAATGAATTCAAAGTTAGAAAAATATTATTAATAATCTATATTTGATAATTGCATTTCTGCCATCTTAAAATTAAAGTTAATAATATTTAAAAAAATTAAAAAAATTATTCTATTTATATACATAGTAGCAACTATAACTGATTCAATTGCTTATTGACATTGTGTATTTGATTGTAATTTAATTTCTGCATAATTAAATTCTAATTTAAATTGGCTGAAATACCAAATATGGGAAGTATAAAATCATGCTAAGCATTTGATAAACTAAACTATGTTGCCTCAGATCTAAAAACTAATTCCATTGCCTATATTGCTAGCCCACACCCACGACTGTGAATTGAAGTTGGGCGCCAGCTACCTGATCACTGGCTACTTTGCCGGATCGGCCAGCACCTACCAGCTGGAAGCATGCCATCTCAGAAGCGACTAGTGGCCAAGGGCCGCCGTCGGCGCCAGGCCATTCAGCTGAAGGACTTCCTGCGCTGCGATGAAGAGCAGCCCCAGAGCACCATTCAGTCGCCATGTCCTTCTGAATCTCAACCTAATTCTCAATCTAATACTCAGTCCCAGAAGCAGAGCCATAAATCTCCGAAGGCCGACAACAGCTCCATAGGGTAATGTATATTCCATCTCTTCACCATCATGAATCCCCTTTGCTAATATAGATTTCCTTGAATTCCAGCCTCATTCCTTCAAACGGCCTTGCCGTAAGCGATGTGTCTCCCATTTTGACACCCACCGATCAGGAGAACCCATCTCCAACCATATCGCCATCGCTAAGTGCCGCTCCAATTTCGAATGCCTGGCAATTGGCTGCGGAAATCGTGCAGCCAGATAGCAACTCTAGTCTGGATACCGAGGAGTTTCCCGATTTGGGCAGGCGCTTTAAGCGAGCTAAACAGGCCACGCCACCACCGCTGGCCAATCCGGAGCACAATGAGCCCAAGGTATCGTCAAATTCTCGTCTCCGTCTGCTTGTTCGTGGACGTCGCAGTCGCGCCATCAAACCGCCGCAACTGGGCCACTTTCTGCCCGAATCGGTGCTTCCCAAGCCAGACAGTAGCAGCAGCAACAACAACAACAATAACAAGCAGCAAATGGTGGCCAACTGGCTGGATTCAGTGCGTCCCGGTGACAGTCAACAGGGGGCGGAGGGGGGCAATGATCAACTAAAGAGTTCTTCGCCCAAGAAGATTATCGCTTTGAAAAAGGAGCAGGAGCAGAAAGGTGCTGCTTCCCAGGAACGGAAGAAAACGCAGGATAAGCAGCAGCAGACAAGCCCTGTCAGAAACTTACAGCAGAACCAAAAAAGTCCTGTAATTGCTTTAGAAAAGCAGCAGCAGCAGCAGCAGCCAAAGATCCCAGCAAATCCTCTACAGCAGCAGCCCAAGATTCCAAACAATCTCCACCAGCAGCAGCATCAGCAGCAGCAGCAGCAGCAGCAGCAAAAGAGTCTTTTGATTGCTTTAGAAAAGAAGCAGCAGCAGCAGACAAAGATCCCAGCAAATCCTCTACAGCAGCAGCCCAAGATTCCAAACAATCTCCACCAGCAGCAGCAGAAGCAGCAGCAGCAGCAGCAAAAGAGTCCTTTAATTGCTTTAGAAAAGAAGCAGCAGCAGCAGCCAAAGATCCCAGCAAATCCTCTACAGCAGCAGCCCAAGATTCCAAACAATCTCCACCAGCAGCAGCAGCAGCAGAAGCAGCAGCACCAGCAGCACCAGCAGCAAAAGAGTCCTTTGATTGCTTTAGAAAAGAAGCAGCAGCAGCAGCCCAAGATTCCAGACAATCTCCAAAAGCAGCAGCAGCCAAAGAGTTCTGACAATTCTCTGCAGCCCAAGCAGCCTGACCATCCAAGCCCCAGTTGCTCGCACAGCCAGCAGACTCCACCGCGAGCTCATGCTCATGAAGTCGACGATGTGGTGCCGCCCACACCAAATGTTCCCAGTCAAAGCCGCAGATTTCCGCGTCGCTACGACAACAAGGAGCGCAGTCCGCGCTCGAGGAACCAGAACTTGGAGCGCTCCTCGTCAGAGGCATCGCCGCGTCGTCAGTTGGCCATGCGCAGCGTGCTGAACTGGGATGCCCAGGAGTTCCGGCCCAGGTTGCAGCTGCAGCGGGCGACCGGAGGCTCATCGATTCAGCCGGAGCAGCGGGATGAGACGGAGCAGCGGGATGAGGTTGAACAGCTGGAGCAGCTGGATGAGTCGGAGCAGCTGGATGAGTCGGAGCAGCTGGATGAGTCGGATCAGCTGGATGAGTCGGATCAGCTAGATGAGTCGGATCAGCTGGATCAGCTGGATCAGCTAGAGCAGATGGATCAGCTGGATCAGCTGGAGCAGATGGATGAGGCGTATCAGCTGGATGAGATGGAGCAACCATATGTGCCAGTTGAGCCGGAGTACTTTAACGGAGAGACCAGAATGAGCGTGAGTTTAAAACCTATATACAGCTGCGGTTTATATAATAGTACTGGGTCCATGGAAAGTGCCTAATAATTTAGTAAACAGTATGTATATGTATAAGCACTTTTCAAAAACCCAGTACTATTATTTAGACCACAACTTTTTTTTTTCAATTTATCTTAATGCTTACTTAATTGCCAATTAACAAAATGAGGTTTCAGAAAGCTTTGATAATGTTTGGGTCTCTCAAGAAAAAAAGGAAAGGAAACTGTTAATAAAGCCTTAAAATTCACTTTTCGTTAAACTGTAGAAAATGATTTTAGAACAATTTAAGAAAATAACCATAAATTCTCGATCATCTGCACTTTGTATTAAGATGAAAAGGTTTTTAATATCTGATCTACTTTTAATGCTTAAAATGTAATGTAAATGAAGAAAATTAACTTTTGTTACAAGAATTTCAAACTATTGGGTATGGAAAATTGCTCAATTAGAAGAGTATTAAATTGATGCCACAAAAGTATTAATATATCACTCATGTGATTTAAGAATATGACTTTAGATTACAGTTTTCGACTCTTCGGTATAGAAATAAAACTAAAAAGCAAAGAGTTTATTTTATTTTGTATTTATTTAATTAATACCTATATACTGCCTGTAGTTTAATTTCAAAACGCACTTATTAAAAGTAAACTTGCAGTTTTCTTTTTGGGTGTTTATTGGCTTTCCAAAATATAAACAAAATCAATTTGATTGCTATTGCCACAAACTACTGTTTTTGTGAATGCAAATGTATATTGTATTTTTTTTTGTATCCACAGAGGAGACGTCGTCGTCAGCGTTTTCGGCGCCTGGTGTCGATGCGCATTCAAAAGCGAATTGGTCAAGGATGGCCGGCCACACCCTCTTACCAAAGCAACAGTGTCCCGGCTCTGGCAGCAGCACCTCGTCCTTTTCCCCCTCGTCCTCGGCCGCTGCCGCCGCCGCCGCCGCCCTATTATTGCCCTCAACCGGTGGACAACATGATGCCGCCGCCCAACATCCATGTGACTGTCGGCAACGATGCGCCGTCCTTGATCTACTACCAACCGCTGTCGGGGCACATTTGGAGCGTGTCCTCGCCACCAGGGCAGATGCCCATCGACATACGGAGCAGGAATGCCAGCCAGTCGGTTTTTCGGCTTGCCAGCCTCCCGTGCACCGGTGTGGGCACCCCCGCTACGGATATCTCTACCGCATGGTCATCCCGCCGCGCCCCATCCAGTTCCATCTCCTGCCGCAGCCGCAGCCGCAGCCACCGCCTGCCGTCCAGTATCTCCTGCCTCAGTTCGGAGGATCAAGGGCCGGATTTGGGTATCAGCCAGGATTTGGCTATCAGCCAGGACAACGAGGACCTTTTGTACAGCAGAACACTGTTGGATATGGATACCCAGGTGGAGGAGCTGGAGGAGAACCAGGACCAGGAGGAGGAGGACCAGGAGGACCAGGAGGAGGAGGAGGAGGAGGATCCCCGGGAATGGGAAGCGCAGCTGCTCGACGGCCCAGAAGGCGAAGAAATCGCCGGCCGCGCCGATCGCGCCGAGCCCCACAAGATTTTCCGTGCACCGGCTGAGCACGACCAGGAGTACCCCTCGCCGGACATGAACTGTGTGCCGCTGGGCGTGAAGAAGCTGCATCGCCTGATCACCGGGTCGTACTCCGACTACGCCTTCGTTTACGCCCTGAGTGCCCAGCTCGGCCAGGAGTGCATGCCCATGGACTGCTATGTGTACCTCAAGATGATGCTGCTGGCCAGCATCGTTTCGATTGAGCCGGACGAGCTGCGTGCCCCCATCTCGCTGTGCGTCATTGCCACCGACGGTGTGATGGCCAATCGTTTGATGCACCACGTGGGCCAGCTGGCGCCACGTTTCCTGGGGCCACACGACTATGGACTGCAGCCGGGATTGAGTGGCCTGCCCACCCGGTTCCCCTGGGTGGTGGCCAGTCCGCTGCTGATGGCCCAGCAGGGCGTCTACTACGTGGGCGACTGGACGCGTCTGGCCAAGGAGCAGGGCAGCCAGCTGGAGAAGTGCATCGAGAATGGAGCGGTGCCGGTGCCGCAGCTGCAGATCGAGCAGAACTTGGAGGCAGCCATCTGGACGCACTGGCGCCCCGAGAATTCCACCAATCAGACACTGGCTTTGGCCAAATTGTGCCCGTAAGTTGAAGTCTTGTTCAGACTTAGCTTTTTATTATATTATGATTTTAGTCGGAAGTTTGCAACGCAGTGAAGGAGATACCTTCGACCCTATAAAGTACATTATATAGTATCATTAGGAGAGTCGATCTGTCCGTCCGTTTGTCCGTCTGTCCGTTTCTATGCAATCTAGTCTCTCAGTTTTAAAACTATCTGCATGAAACTTTCCCAAAAGTTGTCATTCTATTGCAAGTAGTACATAAGTCGAAACGAGCGGGATCGGACGACTATAGCATATATCTCCCATAGGAACAATCGGAAAAAAAATGATAGCTGCTATTTTTTAATTTTTTATTTTCGTTCTTTGACATTTAGTAATGGTTTAATATTCCAGAATTACGACTTTAATTTCAATTAACATCGGACGACTATATCATAAAGGTCCCATGTGAACAATTATTAAAATATTAAAAAAAATTAAATGAAAAAAAATAGCTCCTCTAATTTTACTTTTTTTGTTTTAGTTCTTTTGGACATGGTAATGGTGTAATAATTCAGAATTACGCTTTTAGTTTTGTTCAAATCGGAGAACTATATCATATAGCTGCCATTATTACCTGAAAATCATTAAATACACGCACATAAATCGAAATTTATATGTTTCAAAGAGTATTTAATTTCTGCAATGGCAGCAAGGGCATCTGAACTTTGGCTTGCCGAAGTTTGCTTCCATTCTTGTTTTCTTGTTATATTAAGCGCATGTATTTTGTAGCATCTTTGGGCTGCCCATTTATATGGGCGATCAGGTCAGCGACAGCCTCTGGAACTTCATCATCCAGCAGCACAGCGATGAGGGACCGAATGTGGGTCACGATGGCCTCAACATTCCCGAGGACGACATGCGGATGCTCCTGCACCTGCTGCACCACCGCAAGATCTCGTTTCGCGGGCGGGCCCAGTACATGCTGCAAAAGTATTATGTCATCTCCAGACAGGAGCGACCGAGTAAGTGAATCAATGGGGTATATAATCCTGTGCTAATAACAAAAAAAAATAGTTAATTGGCTATTTACATTTATAAAACAATTTCAAAGAATTTAGTATTATTTTCGTGGGAACTATCTTCCTAAGGATAATGTTTATTTTATAGAAATATTCTTTTAAATCTTTTAAATTTAAAAAGCTTTAATAGTATATTTGTATGATTTAATTTCAGACTTTTTTAAATAGTATTAAGCATTCAGCAATTAACTCTTGTTTAATTAATTATTTATCAAATTCGCCAGTTCAATCGACCCAAACAATATTTATATGTTGTTTTTAGTCTATAATAAGCAATGTGTTTTAAGCAGAATGTTATTAATGTTTTAGATGCAGTCGAAATATGTACAATTAAAATTTATTAAAGACACTGTATGTACCTAACCATTTTATTACCTGTTGTGTTAAGCAACTAACAATATTTTCCTGGAGACTATATTTTTGTAAAAGGCTATTTACTCTAAGCACATAGACTACAAAATCTAATTAAGACTATTCACTCTATGAACATATATTATATATATATATATATATATATATATAACTCTTATTTAATGTTTTACGTATCAGTTCAAGCAGTTTAATCAACTAAAACAAATATCAAATATTTGTATGTAAATGTTAACTGGTGTATAGACTATAGTCTATATCAATGCAGAAAAGGAAGTATATTTTACTTCTATGAATTTTAAACTGACTATTTTTAAACAAAGCGTTCAAAAGTCAAAATGGTGCTAAAGTGAAGCATTTTTATGTATTTTATCATTTCGTTAGCTCTGGTGTTTAACAAATATTATTCTCCTATTTTGACTATTTAGACTATGTAAGCAATGCAGAAAGTTTATTTATTTATGAATTTTAAACAGACTATTTTAAAACTAGTAAAATTATTAGTTTCTTAGCTTTCAGTCACTTACTGCCACTGTTTCTTTGCTCCTCTAATTGATGACAACTCACTAGCTCCATCCCTCTTCTTTTCAGCCGTCTTCACCAGCAAGACGTACATTGTGCTGAAACAGTTTGCGGAATCCTTCGCCAAACTGGCCCTGCGTCTGGAGGTCCTCGAATCGGACGTTTGTGTTGCCATTTTCCACTGCGAGCACTTCGTGCAGCGCATGTTCGGGAGCAAGTCGGAGCAGCTGGCTCCGCCGGCGGTGATCGCCTTCAGTGTGATCTCCCGCATCGATCCGTACATGAACGAGTTCGCCCGCTGGCTGCTGCAGTATCTGGATCGCTACGACGACGAGCAACTGGGGCTGCAGGTCGCCAAGCGGCGACGCACCGACAGCTGGGACCTGCCCTAAATTGCACTCCACTTGGGCACTGCTCTTAGTCGCCAACGACGATCGCCATTGATTTGGATCCACTCCTAGGTTTATAGACATCACACGCTCACCCAGTTATATTTTGAATACCTTTGTAGTTTTGTATGGATGAATTTACAAAACTTGTGTTTGTAAACAAAATTGGCGCTGAGGCCAGACAATAGTGCCTCTAAAGTATATTCACCATTTGCTCACAACAAACAACTGCACCAGAAAATGTTCAAGAGCAAAGTCTAAATTTATAAACATTTTCACCTTCATCCCTTATATTTTCTTGATACACTTGATACATTCGGTATATGTTTTGTACTTATCGCCTGGCAATCGTTCTTTGCGCGATAATCAAATAACTAAGTTTGCATAATCTTGTAGCCGTTTGTCATCTCACATTATTTGCTATGTTTTGGTAATCAAAATTGTTTTCGTTTCAATAATTAAATTAAATGTTTGGCCAAACAAATATATATATTTGATTTTAAATCATAATATTCTAATATTTTAAGCCATGTGATAATATATAGTATTTTCTTAGAAGAAGAAATCCACAGGTTATTTTCGTAAAAACTCCCAAAGCTCTAATCCAATCGTAAAATATGAGACTAAATAATGCATTTACAATAAAAAACACAAAAGGTGAACAAAGTACTTCAAAATCATAAAAGGTTAAACGAAGAACTGTATTAAAAAAAAAAAATATGAAACTAAAAATTGCATTTACAATAAGAACACAAAAGGTACCTTCATTTAAATTTTTTTTTCCATTCAACATGAAAAGTTACAAAATGTAACTAAATAATGCATTTACAATAAAAAACACAAAAGGTGCCTACATTTGGAGTTGTTTTTTCCATTCAACATGAAACAAAATGGTTGAAAAGTTAAAAAATGAACAAAGTACTTCAAAATCATAAGAGGTTAAACGAAGAACTGTATTTAAAAAATAAAAATATGAGACTAAAAATTGCATTTACAATAAGAACACAAAAGGTACCTTCATTTAAAATTTTTTTTTCTATTCAACATGAAAAGATACAAAATGTAAATAGTACTTCAAAATCATAGAAGGTTATACGAAGTATTGTATTTCAAATAAAAAAACTTGAGACTAAAAATCGCATTTACAATAAGAACACTAAGAGTACCAACATTAAACATGTTTTTCAATGACTACATAAAAAAATGAATACTTTCAAAAACCATTAAAGGATATACATTACTGATGTATTTAAAAAAATTAACTTTGGGATTTCAACTAATTTAACGCTTTAAAAAATATGTTCCTTCACATTTCCATTTCAATATTTTGATGAATGTATTTTTTTTATTTTATCTGCTACATTACTTGTAATTCATTTGAAGTCGAGACCAAATATTGTTCAAATGTGAAACATAAAACGATATTAGCTTAAGTTCTTAATTAACCACATTATTCCACCATTTTCAAAACGAATAAAACAGATGAGATTATCTAAAAAAAACAATTATTTTTATTAACTAGATTGTATTGTTACACATATGTATGTATAGTTATTGTTTAAAATTAGTTTCATTTTCCTCAGTTACAGTTTTGCATTTTGATTATCCTTTCCAGCCTGCCTGAGCAAATCGTTCAAAGTTCAGTTTTCGTCTTAGGCGTAGTATCTCTCGATCCGATTATACATTTATCAAAATATATGGTATAGTTCTATAAAATACAAGAGTTGGGCAAATACTATAGTAAAGTTAATAGGTAAATTCACGATGAAACTTCAAGTGTTCAGGAGTCATTTTGGTTGTTACATTTAAATCGTTATACAATTCGTATATGTAATATAGTTACAGTCTAGGGTTTATGATATATATATGCGATCATATAGATTTGTGGCCAACTCAAGCAGGCCCCTAATTTCCTTCTTAGTATATAGATTTAAGGAATTGTAATAGCTGACAAAAAAAAAAGAATGATTAAAATTCAAAAATTAAGTAATTTAGGGCACTGCCATTATTGGTCACTGCTCTACAGGGGTATCCATATGATTACGGTTTGAAATGGCGGTGTTAGTAGCATGGGGCTGTACTTGATTTACATTCAATTCTAAATCTATCGATAGAAAAATGATCTTAACCAGAATATGACAAAGTAAAATGTACATACATAATACATAATATAAAATAGGTCTATAAAAATACGTTCTTGACTTTGGTCCAGTACTGAAATCTCGGATTTCGTTAGTTCGCCAAAAAATAAGAAAGTTATAGGTTCTCCATTTGCATTTGAGCAATTTGTTTTCTGGTCTGGTCCTACATGGCTACTGCTCCTCATTATAGTTATAGTTAGTTGAGCTTAAATCATAGAAATCTATCCCATCTAATGCTGAGAATGAGACTGTGCACTGGGCAGAAGTGTTGTTGGGGCTGCTCCTCGGCGGCATCCTCTAGTAGTCCAGGTTGCCCTGGGCTCCGGTGATGATGGCATCGATCCAAATGCGAGCCGCCGAATCGGATGCGGCCTGCAAATTGTAGCTTCGCTTCTTCGTCTTCACAATGAAGGTGCAATGCGGCCGGCCGCTCTTCGATGCATTCAAGTGATCCAGGTAGACCTCGTCGATGGTCTGTGAATAGAAAAAAATATGTAAGTTTGTTTCACAAAATAGTTTGAAATAATATAAATAATTGTATTTCATTTTATTATTTAAAATAAACTAAAAATCAAAATCAACTATTGCTGTCAAAATCAACTATTAACAGCAAACCCGAAAAGTTTGCAAATAATTTAACTAAATTTTTGTATTATTTGTTTAGTGATCTTAAAAGTTTCTACTTTTACTATAAACTCGTTCATCTTTAAACAACAATTTCTCATTTAATTTAACTATTATAAATTTGATATATAAATACACATAGGTCATGTAACTATACAAATATTCGTTTAGAAATCCAACATAAATTAATAACAAGTTACTTATTTTTTGTCGATGGCTAACTATTGATTTTCTTTCTTTCTAGATTTTTGTGAGCCATATTTTGGCCATACTCACCGCAAAGTAGGCACCTCCCCTTGGCTTCCTCTCCGACTTGTCCGAGTAGTAGATCAAGGCGCTCCTCTGGCGATCCAGGACAAACCAGCGCCTCGACCACGCGTGAAACGTGGCACCCAACTTGTGCAGGTAACTGTGGAAAAATCAGGAAAACAATTGCTTATTAATATAGCAAATCAGGTATGTAACATGTGGTAGAAGAAATCGTTTCAAATCCTATTAAGTATATATATTACAAAAGCATTGAAAGCCATGTCTCGATAACTACAGAAGCCAGAGAATTATTATTTAACATGCAATTTAAAATTTGGACACTCTGAAACCCACAAATCGCGAAAGTTTGTCATGGCACTCTAAGACATGGCGAGGATCACTATTAAGCTTTATATGTTTATACATTTAATATATATCGACTCATACAAAAATTAGCAAAATTTAACCAATATTTGACAAGTTATTGGGAAAAATGAAAATATTTGAAAATTTATAGTGCTGCTAGCTCTTAGCTTGTTCGGCAGATGGCGCCACCTAAGCTACGATTATTTTTATTCATTTGATTATGATTAGTTTTGTTTTGAAATAAACTTACCCGCGACAACTGTGTGCATCCACAAAGACATGCGGACACAGATCGATCTGGTGGCCGGCGGTTTCGATGTGGTGCCGCAGATTCAGGTCCGGCGAGAAGATGGGCAGGTAGCGGGTGAGCGGACGCTGGTGCTTCGGCAGGATGCGCTTCCGTTCGCTGGCGGTGCTGCCCCCGCTTCCGCTGTTCCCGCTTCCGCTGTTCCCGCTTCCGCTGCCCGCCGAAGCGGTATCCTGTGAGTTGCTGCTGACCCGCTTGCTGTCCGATGCCACCGAGCAGTCCATGCCGTTGCCAAACTTGGGCGCCTCCAATGCCGCATCGCAGTTGTTGGCCTCGGAAAGTGGGCGTGGACTGCGTGCCACCACCAGTTGGCTGCCACCGCCTCCTCCTCCTCCTCCGCTGATGCCGCCTCCGATTCCCAGGGCAATGGCATGGTGCTCCAGTTCCGGTTGCGAATGGCGTTGCTAAAATGATTAAGAAAAGTCGATTGTTAATGGTTTTTTTATGGCCTTTTATGTATTTTTGTGCTAAAAATAATATTCTGTCGATAAATTCAAAGTACACAGCGAAAACAGAGCTTTGAAATTTCATGTTTTAGGTGCAAAATCAGGGTAATTTTATTTTAAAAAGCTTATGGGGATTTGAAAATTTATCCTAACCAATTTGGCTGATTTTTTGTAAAAATTGTAGACCTAAATTAAAACAGTTTTAATTTTTTTTGAAATTTTATGAAATTTATATACTTTGTGGACGTTTAAAAGAACAAATCACAGCAGTATTTTTAAAATGGTATAAACTCTTTAAGTTCAAAAAAAAATGTATGTAACAATAGGTCGAAAATAAATTTGTATGAAGCGCTTTTGCTTTTTAAAATGCTTTGACCCTGCTTCTGCACCTAAAACTTTGGCAAGTTTTACGTATGTATTTCGTATATTTTTCACATCTTTATGAAAAGTTTACTTTAGAATTATGGTCTCAATGATTTTCAATATTGTTTGCTTTTTTTGGTTTTAAAATTGTTTACATGCTACCAGATATTCACATTTTATCTACATAAAAAAATTGTATATTTTTCAAATATACATTTTATTGTTTCATATTCTTCACAGTTTGCTATTTAAATCATTAGGTTTTTGTGAAATGTTTACTTTAAAATATTCTTTTATCATATGGACACTTGTATTTTTGCTTGTGAAATTTTCAATTGTATTATTTGGCGCAGGCAGTTTTATAAATGAAAAGTTTTAATATTTGTTTTGTTTTCCTTTCAATATATAATATAACTATTATATTATTAATATAACTTAAGATTGTTTTTTTCTGTATTGTGTTAACACTTGGTGTGGATTTAATCCAAATCGATCAATTGTTTGGATTTAGTTGGAAATTGTTAGAACTTGTATCAGAAATATTTTGGTATTGCTAAAATCACAATTGAACCGATTTAATTGGTGACATATGAGTAGTTATTTGAAAAAAATAGTTCACTCACTAGATAATACAACTCATTGCGCTGGCGTGCATTTGCATCCGTTCGTCGATGCTGCACGTAAGTCATCCACACGGACATATCAACGAAATATTGGCAGAACCGAACCGGATGGAAATTCTCAATTCTTAAAAATCACTTGCGCTTCCAGTGGAAATGGGCAAGAAACTAAGCGATTTTCCGACACAAACAGATGATGATTCTTATTCTTATTCTATTCGACTGAGACTGAGACTTCGCCATCGCCATCGCTATCGCCATCGCCAAAAGGATCGGATCGAGAGCAGCCAGTTCTCGAGGTAATTATACCCGTAATGGGCCGCGGATTTTTGCTGGCCAATGGACCAATGGAGAAGATAACGATGGCCAGTCTACTCGGAAAACGAGTAAACAAATGGTCTAAAAATCGGGGTTCGAACGTAAACACACGGCCGAAATGAAAATGCTGAGCATAAACGCGTACGTAACGCGGCGTAAAACTAAGAGAGCGAGCCGCCAAATGGACAACCAAAATAAAACAAAGACCACAGCAAATATTAAACTTATTAATAAGTGTAGTCCATATAGAATCCGCAATGGAGAGCATGGCGTTGGCTTGTTCTTTAAAATAAACAGGGGCTAAAATAATACAGCAAACAAAATGCCGAGGCGGCCAACAACTCGTGACTAACGAGCTGGCGATATATTTGATCGTCATCCAGGAGGATGAGCATTATGCACTCGGCAAAAATAGTTGGACAATGACGAACGTACTCAAAAACAAACTGATAAAAGTTTCAAATCATGGTGTAGAAATAGCAATAACTGCATTGATCCATTTTTATTAAACTAGAAAAAAACTTTGGAATTATAACCTTAAAATTTATTAAAATTAAACAACAATGAATGAACTTATTCCGCATCGAATTGTAATAAATATAATTATTTTCAATATAACATACCAATTTTATAAAGCACCTTTCATATTGAATGCTTGCTTTTTCACAACAACACAGAACTGGCATTTTTTTAAGTGTATAAAAAAGAGAAATAAGATTTCTAAAATCACCCAGAGGATCTCACTCTTACTCCCACTATTTCTCTTACTCTAATTCTGTCAAGCTCTTGGCACTTATGTATGTCTTAATGATCTTGCGATCTTGAAAACAAATGCATAAATATTAGGGTAGTTCAGTGTTAATTAGATAATTAAATACAAC